GCATTTTGTTTCTGTAAAAATCACCTGCTTGTTTGCTTATGCTTGTATTTAAGTGAATAAGCAACTGTGAACGAGTGCCTATCATTCTTGATAATAATAATAACAACATGATTACTGATCTATTTGAACTATTTTTGCACCCATACAAAGATCAAACTCTATCCACTTAGTAAATATTTAGACATTTAAAGTAAATATAGTACGACTTGTAATCAATAATCAAATGTTACGTATTGTCATTAATTACAAGAGAAAAATGTTATTTCCAATAATATTTGTCACAACTGTTTGATATTTTCTTTTCCCAAATCACATTTTCTAAAAAAAAAACCATTATATCTTATTTTTTTAATATTCCTAATTTTTCGAAGTCCTGAGGGGGTATAGGTCTAGGAGTGTAGTGTAGTGTGGTTTATCTAATCATTCCACAAGAATTACGAACAATAATTATTGCCATTCATGTGATAGGGATTATAGAACAATTTAACGACCTTGACCAGATACTATATACATACAAATAACTAAATCGGATATAAAATCGATCTATTATGTGTTGTTTTGTTTTTATTTTCTTTAATGAACCTATTGATTTAACTTTATAGTGTATTTTAATCAATAAATTGATCTGATTGAATAACTTCGAATATCATTATGGTTTCATTTTGATATTTATTTAGTTCTCTTACAGTACACAATTTTTATCTTCATGAATTTTAACGAAATGTAATTACATTTTCACAATGTGAATTCACGTTTATATAGATTTTTTTGAAATGATAGAATTCATCTAACTACGGTTAAGTTGTGACATAAGTAATAAAATGAAGTTCAAAAAACAACAACAAAAGCTTACTAACCTTTATTCTTTTAACGTTTCTTTGTTTTAAAGTTGCTTCATTAATATCTTCCTGTGAGATTGAATTTCATTTAACAAGATTTAGTTAAATATGTTGAATTGCACACTCGCTACAGTAAGTTAGTTCATAACAAGAACATATGGGTTTTGTGTTGAATAAATAAGCTAGAAAAGTACTCACTAATATGAAGTAAATATTTCACTTAAGTGAATTATAAGACTATTGATGCTCACGTTATTGTGTGAAAAATAAACAATAAGATTACTTCACTGCTCGTATGGCTTACTTCTATGCACTGACTAGTATTCTTCGAGATTTATAGAAACATATTTGGTAGAAACATGTGATAAATAGATCGATTTCTTTCATCTCAACCTAGCAGACTATAATATCATAGCACTTTGATTTTTCTTCAACATCAAACGGTTATTGTTATTTTGTTATCCGCTTCAAATCATTTCTGCAGTTAATTTACAACAAACTAAATAGAAAATTTTAAATATTTATAAATATATATGTAGTTTTGTATCGCAGACTGACTTTCGATACGCAACCGTTGAAAACCAGAAATCATTTGGCAATTGTTTCATCCTGTTATATAACACCTCAGTAGGAGTCATTCTCTTCCCACCACCACTGATCGAAGTAAAAACGTTTAGATCTTGTAGCCAGCACTTAGCTCGTTCAATTCATAAAGTTTGCATATAGTGGTTTACATTTTCGACTTCAGTCAATTCGTGATATTTTGTAATCATCGTATATAAAAATATAGCTGATATTTTTTATATGCCTAATATAAATTATTTTATATCACTTAATTTTCTTAAACTGTAATGTGATTTTATCACATCTTTCTAATGTTTTAAATCTTAATTTGAATTATTCACTATTAATAATAATAATATATTAGTATGGATAAACCGTCATGTGAATCTATATTATTTAAGTCAAATAATAATATTTCACACTGATTTAAGGGTAAAAAATAAACCAATTTAATAACAATTTGCCATCTTAAATCGTTTTATCTGATTAATGAGTAAACATAATTGTTCTAAAAAAATAATAATAATTCAATTTTTATTCTGACCCTGAGTTCTTATCAATACCGATCAGATTCACTTTTTTTATAATAAATGTCAGTCGATTTTGTATTTCACATTTTACAATATTTATTCAACTATATACAAACAAACAAATAAATAAAAATAAATATCTATAATCTAAATAAAAGAGAATTCAGTGAAGAAAATTTTTTTTGGACGAAATCATTTACTTAAGCTGTATATTCGTACATATAGGGTTATATGGAATATATATATATATATATATATATATATATATATATATATATATATATATATATATAGAAGGATAAAAAACATTGCCTGATAAATTGATTCGAGACTAATTATCTATAATCTATTTAAAATATTTCAATCTTATAACCCATGTTAAATTGACGCTATCATGCTAATTTGCTTATTTTTATCTTTGGGCAATTTTTATGTGAAACTCACAAAAAAGAAAACTAAATCATTTACTGGGTCGTTTCATTCATTCAAATAAATCTTTTATTTTCTCAAGCAAATTAGAAAAAAATATTTGACTTGAAATCTTGATGAATACACTCTTAGAATAAACTGTTCCTGTACTTTTTTTGAAGAATTATTCTGATGCAACCTTATTATACCATTAGCATATTACTAGGATAATATCGTTTAGTCAGTCATCTGATGTCATGCTCCCTATATCCACAGGATTGAAGTTTATTTGTGTTACGATTTCCACTGAGACTGATGTCCGAAAATGTCTCCAGTCAATTAATTCATCACAATCTTTAGGATCTGATGAAATCCTAAACCTCCTTTTTTAAAAATATGCTGACGTTCTGTGTTACACACCCACGAGTTTCTTTAACAGATCCCTCTCAACTAATCTCATGCCGAAAATGTGGAGTAAGATAAAGATAATGCCGTTACCTAAGAAAGTCTCTGGTGATAAGAATGTGAAATTTACACCCATAGCAATAACTTCACCTTTCCTCAAAACAATCGAAAAATTATCGATACTCCCACATCAACCTACGCTAAAAGAGCACATTGAAACGTAACAGTTTGCTTACAAACTTTCACTTAACAAGTAAATCAGCGTTGACACTGACAGCTTCATAACATACTGTCTATGTTTCTACCTCTCTAGAAGAGAACAGTTCACTGTGTTTGGAGGAATGCGCTTGACGTCTTCATTGTCTCATGAAGGTGTAACACAAAAAACTGTTATTCATCTCTTCTTTTCTCTTTTTCGCATGATGTACCATCTTCCATAGAATACACCTCTGTTGAATATGCGGACGATCTCACTGTATGTGTGCCGATTTCCACCTCTTTACACCCCATATAAATGAATGCGTTTTTGTCTCTAACTGAATGGTGGTCTGTTGTTAATGGTCTCCCACCTAATCTGTCTAGACGTCAAGCTATTAACTCTAGCCTGAGACATGAACAGCAACCTAATACCATGTTGGATCCCATAGTGCTTGTGCCGTTAGAGACTCTGTGATAAACACAGTGTCAAAGGTCAGTTATCTTGGTGTTACCTTTTCCTCTGATCTCTCTTGGCTTTCTCATGTATTGCTGTTATCGAAGAAAGTTTTCCGTCCGACTAACTACATAAAGAGGCTGCATGGTTTTGGGATTACTGGACATTTACTCTTACAGTTTGTCAATTCTTGCATATTACCTGTTATTCTTTATTGTTGTCCATTATTCTTTCCCAGTCTTTTGAGAAAATACTTTGCTGTATTATGGAGAGTGCTGAAGGCAGTTAGCAGTGTGTATGTGTGTGTGTGTGGTGAATCTTTTGAGGTCATTATTAATATGGTTGTGGATAGACATCTATAATCTAGCAAACTCCTAGCAGGTGTTATCTTATCAGATACTAGCTATCGCCTTCACTCATATCTTTCTCATTGTATATGTTCTGATAGAACGAGATGTCAATAGCTTAAAATCTATGCACGCATGCAATGGTATAAAGTAATCTAAAATACCTTATCTGGCATATATACTCTGTAATGAACAGGTTATTAGTGTTAACCTAGTCAACAAGCTGTAGTTTCAAACATTTCTCTAATTGAAAACTTGTACAGACTCAGATCTTTTTTCATCTTTTTCTCCTTTTGTTGTTTCTTTTTGTAAAAGAAACTTTATGAAATACCTTGTGCCGAGAATTCCATATTGTACCAAAATATAATATTGAATAAAACTATTATATGTATATATATATATCTTTTAGTTTTGCAAATCTACAGTTTGTAAACAGAGTTCCAAATACCAACTAAAGCTAGCTGTAGAACTATTGAAAACCAAGGGACATTGAGTATCTGTTTCATCTTAGTTTGTAACCATTCAAGAGTTGTGGATAGACGTCTGTAATCTAGCAAACTCCTACCAGGTGTTATCTTATCAGATACTAGCTATCGCCTTCACTCATATCTTTCTCATTGTATATGTTCTGGTAGAACGAGATGTCAATGGCTTAAAATCTATGCACGCATGCAATGGTATAAAGTAATCTAAAATACTTTATCTGGCATATATACTCTGTGACGAACAGATTAATAAAGTCAACCTAATCAATCGATTGTACTCATAATGTATTTTTAGGTAAAAAATTTCACGGGCTCAAATCTCCTTAAAAAGCATTTCATTGACTTCCAAGTCGTTTATCTTTTTAACTCATGCATCTATGTATGCAGTTATCAGGTTCTTTAACATTTTTTTCCTTTCTTTGTAAAACAAACATGTTGGAATACCATTTACTGAGACTTCTGTACCGTACTGAAAATATAATATTGAATAATGTCATTAATCATAATAAGTTTTCGCAATTTATTAACTACAAAATGTGGTGATGACTGTAAAATTATTTCATAAAAAATGTAACATACTCGAACCTCAAAATAAAAGAGTATTTACAACATACACAAAGTCTCAGTTTGTGTAACACTTTGCCAAATGATAAAATACATGAGAATAATGATTCCAGGTTTTCATGTTTGATTGTATGGTGGTTTTATCGATTTTCTACCTTATGTTTAATCCTAATTGTCGTCTTCCACTTTTTTCTTTTGCTAAATAGATTAGTGTTTTTCGTATGGGTGAAGGAGACAGTGACGAAATTGATATTACAATATTAACTGCTCTTTTACAAGGTGAGAAACATTTATTGCAAATAAAGTTTGGTGAGAAAAATGAGTTTAAAATTATTTATTTTTATAAAGAAATATCACAAAGAGAACTGTGGAAATCCATGAAGAATTTAATAACTTACCTGATCCAGATGGATTGTCCTATGTTTCAACTTGAATTTATGATATGTAAAGTTCGACCACTTTTGAGGTAAAATACTAAATATTTGATTATATTGGATGAAGGTTGCGTTATGTTGTAAATAAACTGAAGTTGGGAATATCTCTCGTTGCATTTTAACTGAATATTCGTTAGCCATTACGTATATCACAAAAAGGTGTTTATCCTTGATTTGACTTAGTGTGCAAACATATCTTCAAAATATGCAAAACTGTTCACTAATCTACCTGACAGATTTATTCAACATTAATGAGAATAAAATAAGAATGCAGTTCAATGTTATTAGGTTGTAACAGAATCTTTTGGAATGATTTCTTGCTTTTCATAAAGCTATTTAACTGAATATTTCTGAATGCTCAGTAGTAATTGGTGTGTGTATAACCGTTCTCTGAGCTTCATGATAACCAACGATCTTATCTCTTTTACTCATAAATTTAACAAAACATTTTATTGATTTGTGAAGTCTTCTAGAATTCATAATTTAACTAGTTATGACATAACATATAACAACTCTTTAAATAGGTTGGTTTGTATAAACTAGTTTTGTTTATTTCATAATTTAGTTAATAATGACAATAAACAAAAACCAACAATAATTCGTTATCATTATTGGGGTTGTGGAGATTATTAAGTTTTTGATTGAGATCATGAATCGACTGATGTTAGACCACCGTTGGAAACCTGGAAGCACTGGACAGTCGTTTCGTCCTATTGTGGGACTCCTCAGCAGTGCGCATCCACGATCCCGCTCGCAAGATTCGAACCCAGGGCCTTCAGTCTCGCGCGCAAACGCTTAACCTACTGGACCACTGAGCCGTCATCCAATGGTGTTAGTGTCTAACATCAACCAATCCACGAAATTGCGCGACCATCTTCCATTGTACTGAGCTAGATACCTGTCTCTACCCGACACGGATTAGCTCCACTGGTCACGGCTTCTCACTAGAACTCCGAGAATTCCCTCACGAAGCTAGTCACTAGTGAGCACACGTTAATTCGTTAAGTTCATTCTAATGAAAAAAACTTGGCTTTAATAAATTTTCAAGTAGAAAAATCACTTCATTTAATCTTCTGTGTTTTTTATTATCATTTTAAAAAAATTATATTCTCATTCAAAATATGTAATAAAAATCTTATATCATTTGACTAATATACATTTAGAAATGTTTACTTTTGTTGTCTAACTCTACTAAAACCTTATTTTATTTCTATCCTAATTTTAATGCTAGAAATCTCCACACAACCCACTTCTGATAATAATAATCACATGCTCACTAGTAATGGTCTCCAAGAGGTTTTTCCTGGAGTTCTAATGAGAAACCGTGACTAGCGGAGATTAACCGGGTCTGTTCTGAGATATTAACTCACCGATAACAACGGTGGATGTGTCGGTCAATTTCATGGATTGGTTGAAGTTAGACATTAAAACCGTTAGATGCCGGCTCAGCGGTTCAGCGAGACTGATAAGTCCTGTGTTCGAATCTCGCTGAGGGCGGGATTGTGGATGCGCACTGCCGAGGAGTCCCATATTAAGACGAAACGACTTTTTAGTGCTTCCAAGTTTTCAAAAGTGGTATAGCTGAGATTGGCTCATGAATTCAACTGTCAAAATTACTACAATCTCTACAAATCCCCATCTTGATATTTGTGATATCCTTGATTTAAGTTAAGAAACGTCACAAATCCAGATTTCTACATACAGATATATAACAAATATATCGTTATTTTACTAATAATAACAGTATTTGAATTTCTTTCCTAATGATGTTCAAAGTCACGTTAGAACGTCTTGTATCACTGTAGTATTACATTAAAACAGTTAAGTCAAAGATGGCATACATTAATTTATAATTTTGTTAGTGCATAAACCTTAACTGATAGATAACTTTTTTCTTTTGGCGAAATCCATTAAATTGAATGTAAACATTAAAACATCCTCAAATCTTAAATAAACCAATTTAAGTACTCGGTAAAAATGTGCATCGAGTCGAGTTACTACATTTTAGAATAACAGACAATTAACAAAGTGGGAAGTAGAGCATGGAAAATAATTATATGTAATCTAGTACAAGAATTGTATATATTTATTCAAAGGGAATAAATGGGATTGGAGAACGATTGGCATGGAATGTGACAGCAAGTTCACGATTGAAATTAAAATATGGAAGTTATCCAGCTGCACAACAGCGATTAATTATGAAGCATTCTACATGATGTCTCCGTTCACTGTATTGACTAAAACCAAAATGTTTACATCTTAACAAACGACTCCGTTCAATCGTCAATTATTTCTTGAATTAATGCTGCGTTTACATGTCTAAACATCACTTCATCAAGTAAACTAATTGATTGACGCAAAATCAGTGATCTATAACAATATTTCTACAATGTTATTCAATCAGTGACGGCTACATTTTAATAACCTTATTGATACACCATATTTTATAAAAACATCACGTTCAATAGATTTGACCTCAGTTATTCGCCTGTAGGCTCTTATATTAAAATAAGTGTCATGCTCCTTAACACATAATAGACCATGATTTTTCATTTACATCGCAGACTGATTCTATCTATACAACAAATGACAAACAGTAATCACTGTGCATCTGTTTCGTCTTTGCTGTAACTCCTCAGACCTTCGAGTTACTATCCTATGGTTTATATGTCTAACTCCAACCAATTCACATTGTTGCTCAACCACTATCCTTTATCACTGATGATATTCGTCTTGCAAACTATATGATTGGACTCTATCAGTCAGAGCTTCTTTCTGAAACTTTAGGAATTACCCACTTATCTGTTTTAGAGAATCCTGGCTTCTACTTTCACAGTTATTTCGTTCACATAACACCTACAAATATCTTGTCTTTTTTATAGTTTCAGGTCAAAATCTAACACCAGCTGAACAATTATCACTAACTATGGCATGGAACAGGCCAGATATAGCACGTTCTAAAGTGTTTGCAAAATTCAACAATTGGTCTGTAAGTTTTCAATATCCATTCTAGAACTTATTTTGGTGTTTATTAAAATAGACCACTGCTATTATTCAATATAATATTAGATATGTTTAATTGATGCACGTACCACCCAACTTAGAATCGTAACTTTTTATTTCGTTCAGTCTTATCACTAAAAGATACTGAAATTGAATGGATATTCCTTTTCACAAATTTGAAATTTAATTAACATCACCGTTATCACGATCAACCTTAGGTAAATGTACTAAAGTAGATGTAATTAATTTGGTCAAACAGTTAAAACATTGGGCATTAACAATTTTCAAACTAATGCTTTTTTATCAATCTTCCTAGACTTCAGTTAACTACAACCAAAATATTGCTTGATAGGTTTATTGACACAAACTCTAATATGTATATAGACTCTATACGTAAAGAAATTTTGAAACAAATCGAAAATATACTCAGCTCTTTTGTATGTCAACTATTTCATAAGAATATACTAAAAAGGTTCAAAATATTTAGTCAGTCAATGTAAAATTTAGTGATCTATGGGCGAATTGCTTTTAATTGCGTAACTTACTATACTTGTAGTGTATGCTACTTATGTCTGTTGACATAAGTAGTATATAACATCAATCAGACGTGAGATGCATCGCAGCAGAAAGCTAACAAGATAGAATTAAAGCAAAAAGAGAGGGAAAATATTAAGGAATTGTGAATTGGAAGGATCATATGGAATTAAAGGAACAGTTGATGGAATATTTGCAAGATACTCCCTAATTTTGCATGAAATAATAAACTGGTTATCTCCAGCTGTGTTTTCATTCATTACCTATTCATTGAAATGTAATAAATTTTTCATTTTCAAACAAAATTGATTCTTTATTCGTTTCAATACAAACTTGTAATTTATCTAAGATTAATTAAGCATCTACTTTCAATAAACAAGAATGAAACTTTCTTAAAAATTCGATCAAATATTAATCTTTCAACTCATTAATATTAAATTTCGAAAAGGTTTACTTTAATTAAATTTTAGTAAGGTTTTGTAATTTGTAATGAGAATTTATTTGATAGTATAAAAACAACACTATCTAGCGCATTATATCATTCACACGCTCCATGACTATCATAATTTGTAATAATTTATGTATTTTTCACTGTTCAGAGTTCACCAATTAAAGTAGTTATAAATTAATTTGGATTATAGAATGGTAAAGTCTATCTTCGTACATAGTACTTTAAAAAAACAAGAATATTTTTATGCCTCATTCACACTCATATAATACTTGACCATTTAATTGCTCGGTTCTTGGAGCTAATTGATCAACAACCTTTGTACCTTTATTTCATACTAGTCAGAACATACTGTTATGTCCCCGAAGAATATGTATCTTCAGTGAAATAGATTATCAATTGTTTAAATTTCTCCCTTTTTCACTGTTACCTATTCTGAACAGAGATGTAGCATCTTTTTTTAATTGATGGCCAACTGACTTTTTGTTTCATTATTTTTTTTAACTAAACTACAGAAAACGACACTTGAAAATGCTATGGCTGATGCTTTATTAAATGATCGGTTGGAATTTGTGCAGTTATTACTTACTAAAGGATTAAGAATCCAACGATTTTTAACTCGTGAACGTTTGGAAGAATTATATAATGTTGATGTAAATAACCAATCTTTTCATAAATTATTTGCAAAAGTTCTAGGAACGAAACAGGTAAACAGTGACTTTAAAGTCAATACAATACATGTTGTTTTAATAAATTGTCCTTTTTTAAATCTTATATTTGTAAACATTATATTGTTACATTTCATCCTTTTAGTTTTAAACAATGATACATGCTGAAATATTATAAGCACAATTATACTGTTGTTTAAAAGTAAAATTTGTTTATTTTTTTCAATTTATTGAATATTTTACACAGTCAATTAATCAGTTTGCCTTTACACTGTTTTGATAACTCATTGTTATTCTCCTGTACCGATGAAACCTTACGTATTCGATTTTGAAGATTCAGGTCTTAAATGATGAAACATAATTTACGAATCGTCTTTTATTCGTCAATAGGATTAATAAAAATGAAATATAAGTCAGCTTGAATTTTACCTTCCTTCAGATTTGAATATCCAATTTTTAAAGGATTACTACTTGAAAGGCTGATAACCACTTGAGATAATGTCAATTTCCAGTTGTACATAAGGGTTATGCTCAACACCAAGAACTCATAGTACAATATCTGTGACTGACGAACAAAATCAAACACATTCCAAACATGGCTAACTATGAATGCAAAAATAAATCAAATGCAGCAAGATAACTATTTTCTAATATCTAACGATTGATTGTGATTTCAATTCTCGTATCTTCACAAACGTTATATAAACCGAATCAACAAACTTAGGTAAACATCTTGACCTAGAATATATGATGTCTGCTCTCTGATGATACTTCCACTAATTGCCAAGTCTTTAATTAAATTATTTTCTTGTCAAGATATACGTCAAATCATCATGTCATGTTCATTCATAATAAATATGAAATTTTAATAGTTGAAATCATGAGTCAATTGAAGCTAGACCACCATTGACAACCTGAAAGTACTGCACGGCCGTTTCGTCCTAGTATGGGACTCCTCAGCAGTGAGCATCCACGATCCCGCCCCCAGCGAGATTCGAACCCATGACCTATCATTCTCGCGCGCGAGCGCTTAACCGTTTGACCACTGAAATATAACATTTAGTACTAATAGCCTACATACTATTATTCAGTTCTTAGTCTTGATTGAACTCCACCAACTGCCTTAAATCATTTAACATCAATATTAACTTTTCGTTTTTTTTTATTAAAACATTTATTGCGTTGAATTACTTTGAAGAATTTTTTCAGTCAAAATTTATATATTACACAAAACTATTTCTATCTGAATATATGATATTCAGTGTATATGAAACTTTGAAAACAATAATTTTACCAGAAATCCAAGTAATTATATTAAACTAAACTCAAGTTAATTAGATTTTAACTCAGTGGTTCTAAACGTTAAATGTTAGTCACAAGACGTGAAGGTTTCTTACTCGGTCTATGGTGGGATTCTTATTAACATGTAACAATAAAATAACTGTATACTTAACTTTAGTTTTTATCAATACCTTAACTTATCTTAATTCCTACTGCAAGTTACCTAAAAATAAACATTTAAGAAAACTTTAAAAATAATAAATTATTGATTATATCTGAATGTTATGATTTTTCTTCAAGTTGAACACAGTTTTATCTCATAACGAAGTCAATAATACAAAAATATTTTACACATCGTATTCATGTACGTCAGTTTTGGATACAAGGTCAAAATAAAAATATTTGGAGGGCATGCTACAATAACTTATTTTTTTCAAGACTATAACTGACAGACAATAATAAAAGTCAGTGTGACTTCACATAGAATTACCGAATTATATATATATAGTGTTTTTGTTCTCTTCGTGATATAGAGGATGTTTAAAATATGCTTCTAACTTTCAACTATATTCCGATAATACGTTAACATGATAATAAGACTAATCACGTTATATCAAATCCAGGATTCATGACACAGAAAAGAGAACCACATTATAGACTAGACAACACTTTATTCAACACAACTACAAGTAGTTACTCTTAATGAGTCCGGAGTAGAAATCAATAAGAGGCCAGTCAGTCAGTCAGCTATAACGTAGGATCAGGCACATATATTCATCAATCCAAGTTGCCATACTTCATTTGCACAACAAGACGGACACCGAATTCATAAAAGCAGTTACTTGAATGGTAGTGAAAAAACATTTCATATAAGGATATGATACGGGGAGAAAGAGTTAGTTCGTAGAAAGAAAGGTATAAGGTGATGTTAATGTCACGATTTAAGGGAAGACAAGTAATTTACACACCTACGTCATTGTGATCGATTTTGAGCCACATCACCCATAGTCTCCGACCATTGTTTACGGAAGTCTACGAACATGGCTTAGACCAGAAATCAGTGACCTTATGGACTGATGCCACGTTTTGGTTTGGCCACCCCTAACTTTCTTCCTTCCGTCTCCAATGCTAGCCAGTATTGCGCGCTGCAGTAATCGGTGGTTGAGCATACATAAGACGCGGCTCAAGCATCTCAGTCGATGTAGACTCACAACCTGATCAACTGATTTACCATCATTCCCTAATACCCCTCCTATGGAGGAAAGGGAATCACTTAATTAATAACCCGTAGGCTAAATGTATATTTATTTACTTTCACTACGACATTTCACTTTAATTTTAAAAATCTTATAAAAATCTACTAACTAGTAAGAATAAAAGAAACAATCTATTTAATTTTTAGAAAAATTTCTTTTCGTCCCGACAGGATAAACTAGTTTTTCTCAGAAAATAAGATCCAGACATAAAACTTATAATTGACTCATTTCTATTTAACAATAATAGATACTTTGAAATTATATTCTAAGATCTCTCTGATTATTAATTCGTTTATTTCCTTATTCAAAAACTGTAGAACTTGACACACATAGAATCTATTTCAAGTACCCACCCTACATTAGGACAGGGAGATGAAACTATCAAAATAAATTCCAGTGATAAGATTAGTACTAGAATCAAAAGTAAGATATACAATTAGGCACAGACAATATAATTGTATAAGAAAGATTTTTCTCGTCTAGTGAAGTAGCAAACCTATTACTTCCTACCCCATCAAATATTGGTTGTCCATTCAAATCGTGGTTCAGAATACATAATACATCTCCCAGCCACTGCAGCAGATAAAGACTCACTACCTTGTCAAATTATTGCTCATCTTTACTTAGTAATCTTCATTCAACAGCAGCTGTTGTTCATGTACTTGAGTCATAAGGCTTTGAGAGAGAGAGTCTATGATCAAAAGATTTCAACTATTGACCGTGCGATGCTGACTAGTGTTGTGGATGACTGGAAGAATGTTAGGGGCAGCCAAACCAAAACGTGGCATCAGTGCTTGAAGTCACTAACTTCTAGTCTTAGCCATGTTGGTATATGCAGACTACTTGGTTAAAGACTCTGCGTGATATGACACAGAATCGATCATAATGGCGTCGGTGTATACACTATCTTCTCTTAAATCTTGAGATTAATATCGCTTCATATTTTTCTTCCTACCAACTAATTCTTTCTTCCTGTACTATACCCTTTTATATATTACCACCATTGAATTAACTACTACGAATCTGGTGTTCATCTTGCTGTGCTTATGAATTATGGCAACTTGGACCGATGCATATATGTGCCTGGACTCACGTTGTAGTTGACTGTTTGTATTTGAACTAATATGGAAAATGTCCTAAACCACCTATTAAATAGTCAATTTGTTGATAAAAATGTCTCAGACAACCTTAGCTTATTTAAATAATAAAAAGAACTCAAGAACAGTAGACGCTTGTTTCTTTTGAACCCAAAACGTATTAACATGTACTCTCAGTTAAATATGTTGTTAAACTTTGAGCATATAATTCTCGTCGGTAGCAATATAATTATGCAAACATTTCATACACTTAAAAAGTATATCTTCAGTAGTGACTTGCTTGAAAGTGAATATCTTAAAGTGGTGACTTTAAACCATAATCTACGGGATAAATCAGTTTGCATATCTACTGATGATTATGATGACTGTCCTTAAATTTTGAAATATTTTAATTTGAAAAGTGTAGTTCAAAGGATGCATATTTATTTCCTTAATCCCACTGTATTAGAGTTTTGCCTAACCGATAAACATTACTGAGGAAATTGGATTTTGAATGAAACATCTGGTTCAGTAATCTTGTAAACCTTGATTATCTTTAATTACGAATAATTCATGAATATTTTTGACTGATTATTACATCGCGATGAGAATAATGAATGGTAACTGTTGGAAACTATTTCTGGACTAATACTATACGTATACTTTTATCGTATAACTGTTGAGTAACTAAACTATTCGTATTCGTGTTCCTCTTATTATAAGCTTTATTTTGATCCATAGACCATTATTATACGATTTGCGTTCTTGAGTTATGCCAAGTCTATTAATTACTATCTCCCACATTGACAGCCACTTTTGGCTAGATCTTGTGCAAATGTCATTTTCTATTTTATGGTGCGATGTGGTCTGTTTGGTTTGCAAATAAACCCAGTATGTTTGAAATACATGATTCATATCACGGAGGCTAAGATTGGTGTTCTGAGCTTAACAGATAGGCAGTAAGCAGCGCTGGTTAGAAATCTAGACTGTTCGTGCGGATTTTATGCGTCATCGGTCCTGTCGATAAATCACTGTTCTTTATTTGGCGGTATCAGCACTTTATATATTAATAGGACACAAGGCCACAAGTTATCACACTGATCACCAATATTTTTTCTGGGGGGGGTCCCACAAACCTAATTTAAACACCATATGTCATTATTGAATTATTCAACTATGTTATTGAATTAACAGTGCCATTATGTCATCGTCGCGTGTTGTTTCTGTTTTTGTTATCGCTTCCCATTGTGTGAATAACTTGAAAAAATTTGAATCTAGTGTGGTTATTGCATAATGTTGATTTTAATATTAATATTATTTCCTTTTACAACACATTTGTTAATATTAAAATCGCATCAACTTCATGTTTGAATCACTACTATCGCTACTGCTACTTCGTAGTAAATAGATATCTAATAGGAATAATCATGTTACATTTTGATAATAATCGTTATTATTTTTGTCAATTCCCATAATTTATATTAATACCATACACTTTTGTAATATCATGTTTAATTTACAGAAAATTACATTGCGATCAGTTGGACAATTGATTGAGAATTTGGTCGGTGGCGGTTATCAGCATTCCTATTGTAGTAAACCATCCACAGCAGATTTAATGGGATCACCTAATCACGGTAACGGTTGGCTACCGAATGTTAATGTCACATTTGCAAATAAGCACGGTTCAACAGTTTCGGTAAGTTACAAGTATGCCCTTTAAGTCTATCACATTTCGAAAATATTTTTTCTAATCCTCGAACGGTGGACCAACAAAGAAATAGAGTGAGTCAGGCGATCTTTTTATTTGCAATTTAGGTAGTTTCACTTAGTTAGCAAGAAACCCTAAAACCACGTTTCATACTGGTCGTCACCAGTCAACAAGTCGTACTCACAATCTAGAGTAAAACGGGCTCTATCTAACCTCAACCTGAGACGTTACCACATCTCTAAGCTAATCTCAATCTATCTCTTGTAGGACTGAGATACTTACAATTAATGATCAGTAACTAACAGTATATTTGTCAAGTCCTTAACGTTTATAGAACTATTTCGACCGCTTTGTAATGTGGCCACTAGTCTATGTGACACGAATCTACATTTATTTTCTTCTGACTTTTGATGGTTCGGGGTGGCTGTCAGAAAACTCCTAACGTCAGTAAATAGAGCGTTTGTGAAGATTAGGCGTACACAATGAAGCCTGAGTTCCTAAATTCAATATTATTTCGTACGAAAACGAGTGTTTTTCGACTGTTATGTGAAATAAGTTATAACTTTGTTATATTCTTGTTTTATTTTCACTAGTCTCTTCATACTTTTTACAATAGGAACCAGTGGATAGTAAAACTTCACGTTCAAGTAACATTCTAAACAATACATCAGATAAATCGATTCCACCTTGCACATTAAATCCTGGATCAATATCTAACCTAATCACTTCAAAAGAATTAGTTACACAACACATAACAAATATTATCAATCGACAACATACTTCGCAACAACATGTACCATATTCAACTTCATCAAATGATATTAATCAATCAAACCGATACTTTCGTTATCCCTATACTGAATTATTACAATGGACATTGTTAACTCGACGTTTAGATATGGCTAAATTCTTAGTTTTAGCTGGAGAAGAATCCGTTGCTAAAGCAAGTGTTCTAATCAGTACTATTGTTTTTCTTATATATTTAATGAATTTTTACTTTCAATAAATCAGCTAGGTTGTATGGACTATAGTATTAGTCAAAATTCGATTGATTATATAATATCCAAAGAAATGTTAAGTGTAAAGAGTTTAAGAAAAAGCTCCAATATTTGAGAAGTTAAAATCTTACAGGAACAATATTATATGTTTAGCGATAGGCAAGAAAATTGGTGAACTAAGAGCAAGAGCGATCAATCGAATAGCTGTAAATGATATTGCAGGAATATGAATACAAGAAATATTATCACATTTATTTCTACACATAAAAACTATCATTTATTGACAACATATCAGGTAACTTTAGGTCTTCCTCGCGTATGTATATGAAAGTTTTGATTTAAAATTTGTATTAGCCTATTTTTCAATGTTTTAAGTTATGTATATTCAATTATATTTAATTGGTGTTATCAAATGACATGAGTTTTATACCGAAAATGTACCAAGTTATCTAGGTTGTTTGCTTTAACTAATGCATATGCGTTACTCTTCAATTTATTGCTAAACCACACAACTACGAATTTTGCTGAAAGATTTTGGTTAATGAGATTCTTTCCCCAATAACGTTTGAATAATTTGATATTGACTGTCCCTTGAAGATCAGTTAGTATTGAAGCAGTTGTGTCATAAAAGTTATTTAAATATCTCATCTTTCAAATGACAATAAGTTCAATAAAACATCTTTAAAGTCTGATGTGAAAACATGTAAAGTATTACTGAATTACAATTCTTCAAAGTTGGAGTTCAAACTTCACAGTAGTTGTTTGAGAAAAAAATGAAGTTACTCGATAATTTTGTAGTTTACATTATCATATAAGCCGTTACAGTATGATCATATTAAAGTAAACAGTGGAAATTAAACAGTTCGGTTTGACAAACTACAAAGTATTTATATCAAATACTTAACTGTGTTTCCCTTAGATAATTGATTATCTGGAAACCTATATATTTCTCTGTCTTAAATTACTATTGATTAATTAAAAATAAAGAATGCATACAATTTGACCAAGAAATAATCACTATTACTAATGAAAGCTAGTTTACAAATAATCAATAATTCTTAAGTACATACATGATAATGTTCTTTTTATTTTCAATGTTTTTTTATTATTATTACGTTTTTTATTATGTTAAAAATAGGCCTTGTTTTCAGTGAAACTATTACGCAGTATTCGACATGTTACTTTAGATGAAGAAACCGATATTGAATTGCTTAATGAATGCCGTTCACATGAGCTGTAAGTAATATACAATGTGTGCATTTTAAATATATTGAAACGATGAATGTTTTCCGTTTAAATAAACGTTTTCAATAATTTTGTATTTTACGAGTTAGACAGTTTAAATGTAAAACTTTTTTTATCCCTCTTGACAACATCAGCAAGTACTTTATGTAAAAGTGTACATTTTGATTATTGCACAGCTATTAAGCCAATCTGCTTTAACGACCTTGTTTTCTACTGGTTTTCATAATACTATTTATTACCTTAATATGTCCTGGTTGATTGTTCGTTTTAATAGACCTCTGGACGTGTGATTGGTTGAACTTTTCTTCATAAATTGATATAGTGTATTTATGTAGATCCGGTTGTCGATTGCAAATTGATCTAAATGCTATGCTTCTACCAAAAAAGTATGTTTCCTGAAATCTAAACATTACGTAACATCGACTTTCTTTCATTTATACAGATAGTTTAATTGATGAATACAAGTGGCCAAAACCGCTACTATTTATTCCACTGAATTTAGAGTGTGGTTAAAAGTGATGCTTAGTTATGAAAGAAATATTGTCCCTCCCGGAAAGGTCAAACACATCAATATTTTCAGTATATCTGCTGACAAATCTTTACAGTGGTTTCTTTTTAGGCATCTATAGCATAACAGCCTATATCTTATAACTTTTAAGTTAATCCGTTTTTCATTTGTTCCAAATTCAGTTTAATAATTGTATTTTATTGTTGGTATTGCTAAGTAATTAGAATTAATTTATGCGATGATGCTGTGAAGGCGACTACATGGGAATATTTCATAAAATAATTATAAAACAAATAAATTCATACAGTTGGTTTCCTTTATACATCTAAAAACGAAACTGAGGCAAACCAATATCAATCCATTTTATTTCGTTGCTTCTCTTCAGCTGTTTGCAATCATATTTGTATAAAAGTATAACATTGGTGTAATATAATATGAATTTATAGAAACTGGTGATAAAAAAATTAAAATAACCAGGATTGTCAGTAATAACTATATATACAACAATGGGTGAGGTCATCGGAAGACGGAAGTCTGTAATTATTATTATTAATATTTCATTGTGTTTATTTGTTATTACATCTTCTCCAAGCCAATCGATATTTCATCGACGCTAACAATTTCATTCACGTATGTTTTTCATATACTTAATTTTCAAAACTTACATAAATTCTTTAGACCTACAATTTTTGTGTAATCAACAATATCAGTTTCTGGATTACATAGAATCACTATCTCGCCCTTATATGTTACTGAATTCCGTCTTTCAATGACCTTACTCATAGTTGTTATATAGTTATCACTGACAGTTTTTGTTATTTCAATTATTTCCGTTAAATTATTTTGCTTGGATTGTTGTCTTTGCTTTGTTCCTTGCATCATCTTGATGTAATTACCCTTTTATCGAGCCACACACATCTCATTTTACATGCGCGAGACTGATGGGTCCTGGGTTCGAATCTCGCGGGGGCGGGATCGTTGATGACCAACGCTGAGGAATCCCATAATAGGAAGAAACGGCCTTCCAGTGCTTCCAGGTTTTCCATGGTGGTCTAGCCTTGATTGACTCATGATCTCGACAATTGAAATATGCAAGTTTTGACACGTTCAGAATATGTATTTTGTAGAGTATCCGACTAAAGTTGGTCTAAATTGATGTACCGTTAAAAATCAGGTAACACTATCTAGCTGTTTCGTTCGAGCATCACAATTTCACACTATACAATTTAAAACCCACCTGGGGTCGAACTCAGCACTTGCAAATCTCTCAGAAACCACTTAACAAATAGAACCACAAGGTTGGCTTTCAGTGGTACAAGTTCAGATTCAATCAGTCTGATTATTAACTTAATTGATGAGCTCACTCACCAAGTAGTTGTGCACCAGCCATCATCTGATTTTGAGGACTGATGATACTACCCGGTCTCTAAAACCGAAGTAGACGGAGAAGGATACGAATTCGGAATTTCGTGGTGGGAATTCAAGTGCCTCAATATCTAGACCACCGAATATAACTGAATTTCCAAAAGACTTACTAAATCCTTTCAAAATTAAATCATAATCCATCAAACATTGGTCATAAATTATATAAAAATCATCATTTACAATGTGTTTTTCTATTCAACAAATTATCTCATTCAATACCATTTAACTATATTTATGTTTCCTGAGTTAATCCACCTGTTAGAATATCCGTGTATATTCTGTGTGTAGGAATATTCTGATAGTAGAGAGTCATTGGCAACTTTTTCTTTCTTATTCCTAACAAATAAGCTGCCTCGATACCCAACCCCAGTATTATCAAACCCACAATCTTTAATTCTGACAAAGAACAAGATACTGTGAAGTTTCTTATATATATATATATATATATATATATATATATATAATTATTAATCTACAATTAGTTGACTAAATATCTACAATCACCCTGATTGATATCTATTCATTCGGTGTGTTTTCTGTAATAAGACAGGTTTATCTTCTCTTTTAGTAACAATATGAATTTTTGTTCAAAAAACAAATTAAAACCCATCAAAAATTAGTCATGTTAATCGTATATCCAGATAAAAGGATTTATGAAAAATAATAAGTTCTTTGATTCAAATATCTTAACAAAGTCGAGTGTGTTGAAGTTGATTGGGTAGTTGTTTCAACCTATTACGGAACACATCAGAAGTGAAGAAAATTCCAAACCGAACTATCTTCAAAAAAACACTACATCCTACATTACAAATTTCATTAAAATTATAGACAACTGGCTTTTTATCCGATACCGTAACTCCTAATGCTCTTGAGTTAGATCTCACCTAGCCAAAACAAAACAGTTATTTATTCTCAGATAGGGGTTTTGTGGAGATTGTAGTAGTTTAATAGTTGAACTCATGAGTCGATTAAAGCTATACCATCATGGAAAACCCAGGACGATTGTCCTCGCGCGCAAGCGCTATTTATCTATTTGTTTTAACTAACTAATTATGTTTATCATCTGCATGTACACTTGTATGAAGTCTGAAAGCCCACAATCCAGCGTGTAGATATTAGTTGCACGATGCAATTAAGGTCTGTTATCATGAGAGAACTATCGGTCGAAAATGTTTGGGAATGAAATCACCTTTGTAAACGTTTTTAAATATTTTTCTTAAGTCGTCAAACTTGAAGTTAATAATAAACGAGAATTTGTTATAGAACTAAGAATTCTTAATTGTAATCAAACATCTGGTATTGAAAGAAGTGATTATAACTAACTCTCAATGTCGTTCAATATGTTGACTAAGGTACATGCATAATTTTCTTATTTTTATAACTAGTGTTTATTCTTATCTACTGATCCTTCTTACTCTTATTTTCCGATTTAGTGCTTTGGAACGATTGGCCGTTGATTTACAAGATCATTGTTATCGACACGATCAAGATCAAGCTAAACGTTTGCTCACATATGAATTGCAAGCATTTTCAAAAAACACATGTTTAAGTTTAGCTTATATGTGTGAATCCAAAGTGTTCATTGGTCATCCTTGTACACAGGCAATATTAAATGATTTATGGTATGGTGGTCTACGTAAAGGTGATCTTGTCGGTGCTAAAGTAGCACTCATATTAATTGGATTAATAGTACCACCATTATATCCGTTAATCGCATTCTTTTTTACGAAAAAGAGTAAATTTCTTGAATTCAAAACTAAAGAAGAACTAGCTCAACAACCACAAACATTACAAGAACATTTGGACGAATTAGAGGATTCTTCAGAGTCAAGTTCCTCATCGTCGTCATCATCCTCGTCGAGTTCCTCATCGCCTTCCACTAGCAGACGATCTTCTGTGTAAGTTCTCATACTCCACAAAAAATGCATACCATATATGTTTTTGTATTGTTTATTGAATTTTCAAAATGATTTATTATTGTTGGATTTTTTATTTAGATTTGTATTAGTTCTAACCTATTGAATTTTTTGACAAGTAGTGTTACACTTGGCGATGTTATCATTAAATTAATTAATCAACAGTTGGTCGTCCCCACCTATATTATAAATCGTTACACGATGAATTTACCTACAGAGGAAGGTTAAATCGATTTCAAATCCACTCAGACATAAGTTCAACCGACCCTATTTAATTATCTCGATAAATTCCGCTTTTCAAGAATTTTATTCGTTTCTTCAGCCTTTCAAAAATCTAGCCTTAACGAATCTCAGTATATTTGGAACATTGTTTTAATTAATTATACTACTATATTGATAAAGCAGGTTCTATTTGATATGTAAAATATAGCTTTCTACTATAATCAAGTCATCAATTATTGTTCAAGGAGTATGTTTTTTAATACTGTGAAAATACTGGTTCTATCCAGACGTTCGGTCACTTTTTGTTGGAGTATCCTGAATCCCAATGCTAGCCATAACCTCTCTGTCCTACAAAAATTATGATATTACTGGCTATATCTAGGCGATCTACATAGAATGCATAAGTACAAACAAGGATGGATAGAAACTCAGTTCTGATTATCAGCAATGGATAACTCGGATAAATACCCATGATGTGATAAATACCATACCAGTTAAACAAACTAACGGTCATTTGGACGCAGTAGTTCTATGGATAACGTTTTAGGCGATTAGAACAAGAAATGAAAAGTTCGAGTCCCAATATGGTCATTTATTTGGTGAGCCCCAAAGAGAACGAAACCCATGTCATGGATTTCACTACTATCCATAATCTTTCTATTCTAAATACTATTGAATTGTTCCTTGTTGTTGAACCAGAACTAAAACAAAACATCTATCATTTAACATCTTGCTTTGAATACTTTTTCGCAATTAATATTTGTTATGACAAAATTTGTTAAGATAATATCTGTTGTTCAGTTCAAACACTGATTGTTCATTAACTTTTCTATCACTTCTCTTTAAATTATGCTCCTTTTTAACACAGTTATCATCCTAACTTACCTAACGAAAAACAATTAACTAATGAAAAGTTTTTATCAAATCATAATGTAAGAAAAGATAGTTTACTTGATCAAGTACCAACAATTAGAATAAATTCACCTGCACCATCGGATAAGTCAGATAAAGTGAGTTGTACAATCATGTTTTTCTAATGATAATACCCATTTCTATTAAAATAGAGGATTGGCATATACCATTCATCTAAGAGCTGACATCAGGTGGAGAACCGTTGAAATACGTAGAAATCTTGGTGGTTATTTTAGCCTGATTTAATATTAGCTCAGGAGTGTGCATCCATAACTCTGTCAGTAAGGTCTTATGTCCAATTCCCTAGGATAAAATATCCGCCAAGTGCTCTCTAGTTTTTAACATTTCTCTAGGTGATATTCGTTCTTGGATGAGAAAAATAACTTCAAATACACACATTACAATGTGATCCTGTAAGCGAAGAATTCGTTTGAATAATCTTTACTGTAATGTATCCTTGAATTTTTTATAACGCAGTTATGAATTTAAAATAGTTAGGTTTTTTAGCATTTATTTGAGCAAAATAACTGATACAATCAGAAAACATTGAATAATTTCATTTTGCTTGAATGATAAATATTCATTTTAGTGTTATTTACCTGTAATACTTTCGATATAATTTTAAAACATCTTACGTGTTAAAAGAGGAATACTCACTTTAACCATGTTCGAATCATTCAGCTGTGCCTTATACATGAGTATGCACAATTACAATTAGTAGAAATGCAATTCATTTTCCATTTAAATGTAATCTTTTAACTGTCAGATGGTAGATAAAACTTTGTATTCCTGGTCTGTCGCTAGAGATTAGTCACTTTCATTGTATATTCAGTCCTTTATAATGATTTGATTGTTGTATACACAATCCATGAAAAAAACCGAAAATATTATGTCCTAATATATCATGATAATAGTGATCAATGGCATGGGTCATGGGTGTTCACTATTGAGGAGTCCCGTACTAGGACGAAACGGCTGTTCAGTCCTTTCAAGTTTTCCAATGGTGGCGTAACTTAGAACGGTTCGGGATTTTAATAAAATTTAACGATCTTCACAACCCTATACTTACAGTTTACATTTTATTTGATGCATACCAGTAGACTATATAGTCTGTATGTAATTTTCATCTGACCAGTGACTTCAATCTCCCCCAACATCGGCTTATCCATCTATTCATCGTTGATTAAGTTAATATACTTATTTCATATCGTCTCACAAAAAATAAACCACTAGAAGTTATTCTCTTTGTAGTTAAACAAATAGAACTACATTTGCTATTTAGTTCTACTTAAAATTCCTTGGGTTTTTTTATCCTGTTCATTTTGTTTTGTTATTCATTTTCTTTAAAAAAAACCCGCTAAAATATTCATGTAAGTAGGTAACATTTAGTACAAGTAAAGTTTTCATACATTTTCCGACTAACCAACATACGTCACAATTACTGGTTAGTTTTTTTCTGAATTTAATTCTGTCAAATTTTGGTTATCATGCAAATAGTTGATTGGCGGTGACTTTGGAAAAAACCTTAGAAACATAAAATTGAATATTTTAGTTAAAGAATTATTCTTGTCATTTCAACTGTGTTCTATGTCAATTAAAAACATAAACAGCAAAATATTAGTCATGCAATGTTTCCGTTTAATTAATTTCAAATGTCTAACAATTAACATTTTAATTCAACATTCAACATTTGCCTACTTTAAATTTGATCACGAATTCTTACGAATATTTTATGGTTATCACTAAATGTAAAGATTTATGTTTTCATGTTGTTAATATTCTAAACTGAATTGATTCAAGCAATCAATCTCAATTAACCAGTATCTTCAGGAGATCTTACTATACTGATCGTGTTTATTTGCTGGCTATAATTAGGACAGTGTCTGCAAGTGGAATCCAGCTGAGTCTGTCTATATTCTAGTCAGTGGGTCACTTAACCCAGTACCCCTAATAGATTGCATTTTGATATTCAAAGTCTTCGGTACTGATTTCGAATTTTAGGACTAAGATATGATAAGTTTCAACTATAAATAAATATATCTCCTCAATTCCACTTCTATTCACTATTCGTAATTATACTCCATGGTTGTTTTTTTATCACTGGGTTAACATGTAACTACTTTTTTTCACAATAAAGAATCTACCTTATTTAATTGCCTCAAATCTAAATTATTTGTCTTTTTTTTCTCATATTAAAAATAGCAAGTTCTTCATTCACACAATTCAAATAATGATATTGTAACATCTAAATTATCAACTGAAATTAATCAACGAAACGATCATTTCGAATCGATAAATAATGTTCATGATTGGTCTCCAACTCGGAAATATCATTCAGAAAGTACTGATAAGCTTGACAAAACCGGTGTATTATCGAATTTTCCATCCTCATCCAATCAGCCAATTAATAATCCTATAGATCACAAAATTAACCAGCAGTTAAGCAATAAACAATACATATCAACTAATCCTCATACAAAAAAAGAACTAACAACACCGTCAACTTTCCACGATCACACAGATGATGGTTTACCATTTAAATCTAGGAAAAAGCGTGTAGGTTATTATTGTGTGTTATAACTATTGTGATTTTTGTTCTAATGTGTCAAGTATTGTTTTTTTTTCATAATCTCAATCCAATTCTAATAAAAATTCAACTTTTACGATAAGACCTTTTTAACAACGACCCATAAACACAAGTATGTCGTAATAAAAAAATAAGTTGTATTGTACCAATAAATAGTCGCTATATGTAAGCCCTATTATAAACATTTCTCACCACTCAGAATTCACCTGGCTGCCAATTCTATCAACATGGCTAATGAATACATCCATGAGAATAAGCAAATAATAATACGTTTGTTATTAATATTTGTTTGCTTTGAAGAAGTGACTTGCACTATGTCACGAAACGCCAGAAATTCAAATTCCTATTCATTAAAATTTCACAGATATATCATCATCTTACTATTAACATTTTAAAGAATGATCAATGTATTTGAAATTATCAAGTCAAATCTTGGTGTTGATACTTCTGTTTATGAGAATAACAAACAACTTTGAATGTAAATGTTCTTAGTAAACAATAATAAACATTATAAAATTCTGAAGAATACTTCTAGTTTAAGTGAATGCTTTCGATGAAAATATTCTGCTCGATGGATGGATCGTAAAACTTTAATTTTGATTCTGGATGATATCATCACCTACTTTAATTGTAATAGTATATTGTTTGGAATGATTCCAGCCAAATGATGTATATAACTGATTGACCGGAATCTCATTCCATGTTGTCGAAAACAATAATATAGATGTATTGCTTGTTCGAACTTTCCACCGCTAGCCACCATTCATCTCTGCTGATAACAATACAAATGCTTTGTAATAAAGCTAACTCGCCCAGATAACACAATTGCACCCAAACCACTAAATATCCACTGTAGATAGCTAACCATTAATTTGTCATATTATTACTTACTTACACCTGTTACCCTTCGTGGAGGAGCATAGGCCACTCATGAGCATTCTCCATCCAACTGTGTCCTGGGCAATCCTTTCCAGTTGCTATTCATTCTTTTCATATCCGCTTCCCGTTCTCGGAGTAGTGTGTTCTTTGGTGTCCTTCTTTCGCATTTCCCTTCAGGATTCCATGTTAGTACTTGCTTTGTGATGCAAACTGATGATTTCTGAAATGTATGTCTTATCTACCACCATAGTTTTTCCCTAATTTTATCTTCAGATGGAACTCGAATTATTCTCTCCCACAGTAGGCCATTGCTGATGGTATCCGGTCAACGAACATTAAATATCTTGCTGAAATCCAGACTGAGTTATATGAATAAAGTACATAATTGCCAGAAAAATTTATCATTCCCGACAATGGACTTAAAACAGGACTATTTAATAATGTTGTTAGCAAACACCTTAATGTTTTCATTCTATAAATTGCTTAATGTCTTGCCGAACATATGATTTACTGTGTAATTATGTTAATATTACTTCCAAGTGTTTCTATTGTAATTCTTTTTAGTGTATTTAACCTATAAGTTTACAAACTCTAATAAACTTATTTTATCAATATTCCACAAAAAAGTTCGCAAAAACATAAATATGATAAAACCTGTAAAATAACCAGTGATTAAAAGTGAGCTACCTTAGTACTTTCGAAATATTTGAATATTTCCGTTTTATTTGTAAAAGAACCTTGATCATGTTGTCCAGATGTAGGATAATGAGACCGTCACAATTTGAAAACATCCAGTTCCGTAAACACAAAACACAACTAATAGCTTCCATCTATAAGCCGTAAATTGTATGCAACAATTTGAAAAATTTATTAACTTTGAACTGGATTATTCTTTTTCATTATTATAGTGAACTTTTTACTAGGGAGGAACTGATGTAAAATGTACTTTCAAGGATAAAAATCAATATTTTTGATATATAAGATCAGTATATTTTTTATTAATCAGTTTAAAATTTGATATTCAGTAGGGCAATTCAATATAAAACTTGGCAAAAAGAAAACACCCAGTTTGAATATCATAACTGGTTTATGCGAAATATAAGTAATATTGACTGGACGTTAAATGTTGAAATGCTATCTTTGATTTCATTGATTCCTGGCAAAAATTGCGATCAATATTATTTAAACTTTTATAAAAAAATTTATATCTTATTATTTTTCTTAACTCCCACTCATAACACAGAAAACTAAGCCAAATCTATCTGTGAATGTAACACTCTTTTGTTATGATATTATTGTTGTTCATAGATGGATGGATGATTAAGCAAACTTTTATGCTTTCGCATTGTTTTCTTTATCTACTGTTCTCTCTCACTCTCTCTTTATAGATGGTTTCTGACATCATAAATGCCAATTTGCAAGCTGTTCCTACAGTAAAAACACTTCCAACAGAAATGAATTCAGCGCACAGATATCGTTGTGAACCGAGTAAGATATATATATATATTTGGCTGACAATAATATATTTTATTTAGATATTTTATGTAGTTTCATCAAACAAACTCAAAAGTGCTTACTATTTCAGCATTTTATAATTAGTTTTTGTCTGACATGTAGAAAAATATTTTCTAGAGTGATGTCTTGTACACAGAGGAGATAAGTAGCATTCCATTGAATAAAGAAACCTATTTTGTAGAAGGATTCTAGTGTATGTAGACAACAACAAACTCTTTATTAGTCAGACAAATAGATTAAAATACAAGCAGTAAACAGATAGTTGACATCCTCCTTTAAATACAATTATCAGTGTCACTCAACTAGAATTTCCTTGGGACTCATCAACTTAGGAGGTAAATAAACACATAAACAGTTTATAATAATCCGCAGTTGAGTTCTATGAGGAAGAGATGTGGAAAACCTTATTACATCTAAAGTAATAATACTTTTTCTTACAAATGACAAAAATAATAAGTGTCGGGTTGCCGGTTGATAGGTTGATTAACATATTTTGAACGGTTTATATTTGACAAGACCGAATGATCATGGATATTTGAAGTGAATTTCCATAAAAAAGCTTGCCATTTTACAGTACATATATGACATAATTACAGCTTAATTCATATAGAAGTGAGCATTTTGATTATTCGGCATGTACCAAGTCAGTTAGTTCTGATAACCTTGTTTCCTACTGGTAGTCTTATAAATGAAGTAGACGCTAATAATGTTGTCCAGAATGATAATGAATGTTTAACTAAGTCGTCTAGCTAATAGAATAAAACACCACTAAAATTATTCATCTGAACTGTAGATTTTTTCCATCAGCTTTGAATACAGCTATCATCGACTTCAAAAGTTCTAAATAATATCTCATTCTAATTTGGTGACCTGTATATTTATATCCTCGCTTCATCACACAAGTTTTCTGAAGAGTTTTCGCTCATCAAATGGTCGAGTGTATTCTCAACTACATCTATGATTCATTTCATGAGATTTCAAATTAAAGATAACCAAAATATTTACAATTTTCCTTCAGATTTATTTATTTTCACATTAGTTAATACATTCAACTTAATAGTACTCAAACTAATAATAAATATCATTCATTTAAGTACTATTACAACATACATTTAAGCAGTTTGCATAATATCAGTACTATTGTGTTATCATCTTTATTCATATAAATAGAGTTCATTAAAAATAGTATGCTAATCAACCAATAATAAACACCTCAGTTTCATTCTTTAAAACAAAAACAAAAATCTTATAATAACTAACCTACTACATATATCCAAAGACTAATAATTTACTCTCATGATGTAATCAACTTCTTAGCTTATTTATTTGGTAAATATAATTCACAAAATAGTCTTCTTTTACTGACAGTTTTCATTCATTTTTGTCAATTTACCGTAGTCTTTTTTCTTTCTTTCCTTTTTTTAAAATAATCTCCTTTCATCTCTAATAAATTTATGAAATAAATATAAATATATTCACCGTAATTTGTAATTGAATAATTTAATTACTAAATAACATTTATCATGTTATCACTATGCTTTTATTGATTGATTATCATATTTACATATTATAATTTTATTTTATTTTTTTGGTTTTAGATTATAAATCAATTTATCCTTTGACAACTATTAAAAATCCTAAATTATCACAATCTTCTAATAATTTATCACAAACTATTCCACAATCATTTATTCAAGCACCAAAACATAGTTATCCAGATCGTAATAGTAATGGTTTACATCATGAATCTAGAAATCATATACGTAAGCAACGTTATACATTCCATCCATATTCAACAGCTTTAAATACATCTCAAAATGCAGCTTTAGCCAGACATGCATTTCTGTTAAGGTAAGTTTTCTTTCTATTGTATAAATCAAAGTAAACTATTGTGATTGATGATGAGAAAGTTTGTATATCAGCCGATCATTCATAAACCATGCTGAACAAAGTGTGTATTGATCCAAGTTATCACATTCAACCTCAATACTACAAGAGATAAACTTACTTAAATGTGAAGTAAAATGATAGGAATAATGTTAACGTCAACGATGACTTAATCAGATGAAATGTAGTTCGACAAAGAACATAAAATAAAAAGTATGAAGTGATAATAAACTTGATATTTTGAAAAAGATAAATACTTATTTGTGCTGCTGTAATTAATTTCGGAGAATGTCACTTAATAGTTCTAACTACAAATTATAATTATCTTATAAATTCGAACTACGTCTGCATCGAACAACTTAGATCAGTACAGTAGTCACTGACTTTACAAAGTAATATCATATCTATTCTAATTACTTATTTACTCACCTTTAATTTTTCCTTATTTACTCCTTCGGTAACCAGTATCCCGAATCCTGTTAGACGATGCTTAGTCATGTATTACACATCTGAGCCAACTAATTCGATAAAGGTGTTTGACTTTGACAGTTCATCTATCACTTCTATTTAAAACCTTGACACTAACCACACCATTACGTTTTTAAGGATTTTACCACATATAAGCAATAGTAATCAACGGAATAATCTATAAAGTAAGCCTAGTGAAATAAATAATACCAAAATAATATATCACACTACACCAAAAATTGATTTAAGTTCTTAAAGATATGAACTAATGAAATTGGATCCAATAACCCAATTATCAATCTAATCAACACAGATCTATAAAGTCATTGACATACGCTTCCTTTTGATTACTAATAAATGATCGGAAAGAAATAGTAAATATCCACTCCTGTTTTATCTCATCTTAGGAATTTTAAGTAGTGTGTAGCAATCACATAGTGTTGGTGGGACATAGATTGGATTACAGCATGCTCAATGCATGATTGCTTTGGTGCGCGCTGGTTGGTTAATTATGCCCAATCAGTGCTAGTCGATACCTGGAGAATATTCTAGAAATATTCTCATATAAAAACTATAAATTTACTAACGTTTTTCCTATTGTGCTTTTTACTTCCATCTAACCTTGTTATTTCGAATATAGTCTCTTTTCTGTTCAACCGTGTTCTGATTTGGGGACTTGTCGAGTGAATTGGTGTCCGAGAATACTAAGCAATAGGAATAGCTGGGTTATAACCGTAAGAGGGAATTATAACACATAGGATCAAACTCACGACGTCCTTTTTCAATATAAGCACGATATCACTCAAGCAAGAAATCGAAATTCACAGGTTCCCACTACAACTTTAAGAAATCTGTTCAAAGCACACTATTGAAATTCCTTATACATCCTAAATCTTGTTTGTTAGTAACCAACTAGAAACGGATTCGTTCATCGCTTCAAGGCTGGTGATTTTACATACTTTCTCAGACGGAATTAGGTCAAACAGGGTTTGGACCTTGCTATTTATTTAGCGTCTAAAAGTCGAATGCGTTAATCACATATCCTCTGCTCCATTCCTAAGCCCTACAGATTATATAAGTTCAGTTCTGAACGTACTTATTTTAAACTATACAAGTTTTCGTAAATCATTCTCCTATATATGTTATTATCGTATTATGATCATTATTTTAGAAACAATTAGTTTGTTTACAACATTCTTATTCTTTTTTATTGTAAGATCTAATTTAGCTGCACTTATTCCATCAAATCACTATGCATCAGTAGCTGCGTCCAATGATTTTCAGCAACGTCGTCGATATGAACGAAGAAGAAATAGAGCTTACAGTAATCCTGATGAAAATGATACAAATAAAATTACACAAAAGATAATCAATAGTAAAAAATTATCAACAACCAATTGTGATGTTGTTTATGTATCATCAATCCCAACCATAACAACAATAAATCCATCAATATTTACACATAATCATCACAATAAACAGAATAAATTGAATTCTACATTAAAAGATCATTCATTCTCTTCATTAAGTTATCATCATCGTAATGGACAATGGATACCGTGTGATTTATCAGTTGGATATGATTTTCAATCAACAAATAATCATGGTTTACAATTATCATGGCGTAAAAAAGTTTATGAATTTTTCAGTGCTCCTGTAACACGATTTTATTTACATGTAGTAAGTCTAAATTATCTGTGTGTGCATGTGTATGTTTCATTCTCTATATTATTTTTCTTTGAACTTCTTCCACAAACAAATATATCAGTTGATTGGTAATAGGTTGATACATTTAAATTTTTGGTAAAATCATGCTTTACTGATAAAACAGTCAGATTTAAGATAACTAGTTTCTGAATTACTTTTTCTTACAAAATTTAAAACATGACGACAGATAGTTTGTACTTTATTAAAACTTAGGTAAAATCTACTAATATTTAATTATAAAAATACTTAAAATTAATAAATGGAAAAACCAAAGAAAAGAAACAAACTTGAACGGTTCTTAGACTAACCTTGAGAGAAAGAAATTGATTTTCTAAAGAAAATGTAATAATAAAGAGATAAAATTAAAAGGTATGTAACATTTTAATATGATTCATGACATTAACAAGGTAAATAAAAAATTTTTCAAGTTTTTAAATCAAAGCATTAACTCCATTAGTATTCATCTACATAGCTATAAAAAATTCTTCCTTCATAATAAGAAATATTCACTATAACTACAATCGCTTAATCGAAATCTTAATCATTACCTTAATTCTTAACCTCAAAACTTTTAATGTTTTATAATTAATTGCCAATTTATATCCCGTGGATTTTGATTGGCTGACAATCGGTTAAAACCTCTTGGTATCACTTTAAAACTCTCCATATAGTATAATCCTACGAAATTTATTTTTCAAGAATTCTAATAACAAAACTGTTATATGAATTTCCTGCTAGTAGATAATAAAATCTAGTCTTAATAAAATAAATAATATGGATATCAATTCAGATAAACTTAGCTAACAAACTTCAGTAGGATAATATCTCTATTGGCATATGGATAGTTTTGTCTAAGGGGCTTATTATACGCAAGGGAAGATAAAGTGAATATGAAGACTGTTACACATAGACATTCCACAGTTATTAGAGGGCTAAAATAGTTTTGTCATGCAAAAAAGTGAATGTAGAAAAGTTATGGTAACGAGTATAAGAACTTTAAGCATAGATGGATAGTGGCTAGCAAAATGAATCCAGAACACTTGTCCTGTATTATTTGGGACTCATCAGCTGGATGTACCAGCATCTGAAAGTTGATGTTCAATCTGAAACAACAATAGGAAGATTCAAAAAACCCAAAATATATGTACTAAAAGAATTTTCAAGATTGTGGAAAGATTGATGAAAACAATTGAAGGATAGATACATTCGATTCAGTGTGGTTATTTATGTTTTGTAATTCATATAATACAGTAATAAAGGAACTAATTGGGATACACTACAAACCATATTATTCTAGAAACGATATATTTCAGTTTAATCATTCATCAGATAATCCCCACTGCAACCAATACAATTTCTGACATCGATAACAAATTAAATGATGAAAGATATCACTCCACAGAAATGCTGGATGATTACTCATCTACTACACTTCATAACCGCTGTTTTTTCTTCACTTTCGGCTAATGATCCCGAAGGACTACTTAAAAAATCTAATATATATGTATGATAGTACAATTGATGGTTCTATTAACAACTTCTGCCAACACTTTAATATAGTCTTTGTAATAGTCCATTTTATTAGTGTATAATGTCTCTATTAAAAAAACACTGTTTCCTAGCATCCACTTTAATCACGCTTATATAAATTGTTCGATTTAATGACTTATACAGTCAACCTATTTATGGTAATGATTAAACCACATCGTCCATAGCTTCTATGATGATATACTGAGACGCATATTAATATCACAACAATTTATATTTACTTACTATCAGTTTGTTGCCAGAATCACATCCATTATTGGCTAATATATTTACTACATTTTGATGAATGTGCCAACACTATTAATTCGTTCATAAATACAGGTTAATTTATAAAATTAACTGTAATCAACCTTATACATAATATCTGTAGAAATAAAGCATTAAAATTAATATTAATATTTACCTAATTGTTTATTTGTAATTAATATTATTCAGTGTCCATTTATTATTTTACTATTCTACTCTCTTCTACTATTTCTTTCTTTCACTTATAGCTTTTATACCTTGTATTCCTTGTGTTATTTATTGGTCTATGCATTCATACTCTACCACCGGATACATTTTCGTTCTTGGAACTTTATGTTTATTTACACATTTTAACGTATTGGTTAGATAAATTTCGTGAGGTAAGAGTATCCAGAACAATTATTCTTTTTAATGTTAATACTTTTATATATGTTTTTCAAACAATTATAAGATATCAATCAAGTAAAATATTTTTTAAACCCTGAAAGCGTTCTTATGTTAAAATACCTTTTTCATATCATAAACTGGTATCAGTTGGTGAAATAACAAAAACAGAAAACTATCAATTAACTTTTTTTATCTATCTTCATTTAAAACTCTTTAGCAATATACAAATACGGTATTACACTAGAAACAAATCAAGATCTTCAAATTTTATTAGCAGTAACATAAAACCACAATAATTAAAGCCCAATGTGATCCATATATTTTAGCCTCAATTTGTATCTCTATAGAAAGATTATCATGTAATATATCACAAGTTAGTAACTGCCTTGTTGCAAAACTTGAACACTTTGAATTCTATTGTGTGTGTGGTCATGAGTGTGCACTACTGGCTGGTCTTAAATTGTAATGATGTACCTGTCTCGTATTTTTTGATTTCTAATAGTTTCTCAGCTAATGTTAGATTATTATGAAAAGTACTTTGAAACTATGATAAATCACGTTTAGTTAAAATATGAATACTAATTTCAAACTATTAAATTTTTTACGTTAGTATAAACCATCTCAGTAATATTCGCTTTTATAATTGAATACATGTAGTCGTTTACTTTGATTGGCCAAACTAAAAATTAAAAATAAGTGTAAATCAGTCGGAATATAAGTTTAAAAAACACAAAAGAGTGACAATAATAATTCAGACATTCTAGGGTTGATGTTCACTCCGGGGCCTAAAATAAGTTTTGTTTACTTCAAATGCCATCACATCATCCACATAGCTGGTGAGTCCAAATAGCTACTTGCTTGTGCAATGCCCAAAATAAAACGACACACATGTCCTAAATTGCACCGCTATCACTATCTGTTTCTCCCTAAAATACTTGTGAGTTAACGACAAGATCGATGCAAACCGCACATATGACAAGGAGACTGATCAATTATAGTCGTAAACAATGATGAAAAGATTAAAAAGTGACCAATATATATATGAGGATAATAATAAAATAAGTTATTGTATATGGTCTCAAACCACCGCTGTACATTGATTCTCTCCGGTCCCCATCAGAAATCTTATAGTTTTATATTGAAGGGATATTTGTTATATTCTTACTCCAGCCAGTACCCTGAAGTCTGATCAGTACTGATTGACTAGGAATATGTAATTGTTTCTTTATTAGTCATCTTAGTCAGTACGATTATTTCATTGATTTTCTTACAAATTGTTTAGTTACATAAAACGCATTAGCCTATTTTTTCATAATCACCCGAAAGAATTGTCTTTCTGAAGTACTATTACTAATCATGTACTCTATTCTACGCTGTGATGTGTAAGGTTCATAATTTACTGTCACAAAATCATAGACGTCTTTAAAGCATTACTCGTATATGTTGGGACAACATGGTTAAGTGTTGAGATTGGACGCAAGATACTAGGTGATAATGGTCAACCGGTTTATGAGGTGATGAATTATTATTAACCGAAGTATTTAGAACATGAATTACTTAACATTTAGCCACCGCCTACCTCTATGAACGATGTTGTCAGTCATAGGACTATGTCAGAAGTCCAGGGGAGGCCAAAGAAAAACGTGATATCGATACTTCCAATTCCATAAATTTATTCCTTTCTCTCGAACCATATCATCTATATGTAATGTCTTCTACTATCACTAAAATTGTTGCTACTTCTACTACTCGATTGTTTATCTTTACATTTTCATCTCTATACATACATTGTGATAGCATGAAGTAATGCATTAATGTGCAAGATTTTACGTTTTCCATGACTGACTGTCCATATTCTTGTGAAGAAAATCATTATTTCAATATATTGTTTATAATAATGTATCGATTTTTACTCTTATACTTATAAGTAACCGTCTAGTAGGTAACTCTAAACATTAATAGAATTTACTTACTGAATAAATTTTGTTTAATAACAATTTTCAATTAAAATATATAAATTTCTTTAAAAAAACTAGTATACACTAAAATTTGATATGCACCCACCCAGCTTGACAATATCATGATTCTATAAAGAAAAAACTAAACACATTACACACACACACATACACACTTGCCTTTATTACTGATCTATGAAATGATTACGACATTCAGATCACATGATCATTGTCTATAGTAGTTTTTGTCTACCACAATATATATATATATATATATATATATATATATATATATATATACTATTTAATAACATTATTTGTTCTTAGTTCCATTATTATTAAGATTATTATGACTATACTGTAAATGTGGTAAAAGTCAGATGCATAAAAAATATGTTACTAGTTAAAAACTAAAACAGAAAAGAATTAGTTTCTTCAATGATTTATCGATTGTTACTAAGTAGAATTATCTTTATATATAATAATATTTATGAAATGTTCATCTTTGATATGAAAAAAAATAATATCAGTACCGACGAAGGTAGCTATTCATATTGAAAGAAACCAAAAAACGATATTATTAAGATGGAAATATCACCACTAGTAATAGTAGTAGTAGTCAGTTTCATGATTCTAATGGGTTACATTTTAGTTAATTTAAAATTTAACTCAATCATCATTCCATGTTATTAGTGAAATTGTTGACCCCTCCCCTTCTCCCAATATAGACATTTTAATAGAACTTTGAGAATCAATCACTAGTAAGGATATGACTATTGTTTGAATAGATGATTTCTGGTAATCAGTTCATTTTAAAGATTGACTTCAAGATATATTCATACAGTTCCAGTGCAAAGTCTTCACTAGTGATGGAAATAAGAAATTTATCGCCGCTAATGTTTTCACATAACCGTACAATATTTCAGACTAATTAGCACTCTATTTGTTGTGATCGTCCTATTGAAACGTTTTTTACTTACATACATACCTGTTGACATATTTCCTGATATATAGTTTTAAGTCAATAGATCGAATGAAGTTAGTTAATAAATCCATTTGATTAACAACAAATCTGTTTCAATAATAAACAAAATTTTTTAGACATTTCTGAATATTGACTGTATTTCAACATAGTTTTATCACTGATTGATATAATCTAGAAAGCGTTGAAAAACCAAGAAACACTGGAAAACTGTTCACCTTTGGCTGAAAACTCTTCTGTAATACTCTTTTAAAACAAAAACTTACAAATACTGATCAATAAATCTTTTTCTCAATGGTTTGACTGTTTCGTATTTTGTGCAAGATCTGACGTTTTTATACTTTATATCAGATCAACTCTCCGCACTGCATAAAATCTCCTCAATAATAATAATCATGTGGATTACATAATTAGTGTGGTCAAAATAATAATCATGATAAAAACAATAAAAACACCATGATAACTTAAATAAATATTTCATCATCAAAACAAAGTTCGGAAAAACAAACCTATTAAAATAATCATCAAAACTACAATTATAGATGATGTGTTTAAGTTTGTGAGTTACTAAAACATTGGGATGAATTGATGAGATTGCCTATTCAGTCTTCCCTAAACATTTAGGAAACAGCGCTACTACAAACTTTCTCTAAACAATAAAAACTAAAGTTATCCATCCAAATCTTTACAGCCTCTTCTGTATGTAAGAAAACTGTAAAGCACCTAATAAATGAATGTAAATGACCACTATCGATCAAGTGTTATAAAATATTGCTGCGTATTTACTTTATTTGACTCTTTCCAAATCACAATGCGAGAAGTTCTCTAACTTTTTTGACAGTTTGGTCGAATGTTTTACTTATACGTTTAAAAGTATGATTATTTATTAGTATAAAGCTGATTAAAGACCTCTTTGAAAATGATATTTTTTTTCATTATATGTCTCATCCTAAATTAATTTTGCTATTTATCCAAGTTCATTTCAACTGCTTCTACTGAAGACAACGATAGAAGTTATACATTCATCTAATAAGGTTTCTTTTTATAGGTTCCCTTATCTTTTTTCCTTTATACACCCTAATAGATAAGGCACTTTTTATCTGTATACTGTTACAGGTACTCTACATGAACTGAACAATCTGTATTGTATGCACCGTTTAGTGTTGATTAGTTTGCATAACTTAGCTTATTGAAAAACTAAATCAATTTTGATACATAATGTTAATAGTTCACTGACTCATTCATATTTTCTTATTTTAAAACCGATAATAACACTAGAAAACTTCATAAAACTCAATAAAGCAGGTTTTTTTTCTTTGAAATACTGTGTTGTGTCAGCTTAAGAAAATCTTAGAATCTATTTAGATTATGGTTAGATAGTATTATCACCAACAGATGTTTTAAAAAAATAAAACTGCTCAGAAAAAAATTAAAAAGCAATAAAACCAAGTGACTCAACCATTGAATTTCAACTCTAGTGATCCATATATAACATTCGACCTCTAGCTACATCAAGAGTACATATTCTTGATGTATCCAAGAGTCGAATGAAACACTTGTTAAATTCTACTTAATTTTTAATAATTCTATAACTTATACAATTCGATGATAAAAGCTAGTTTTAATTTGTGATCAGTTTAAAAAAACTGTGTTGCACCTTTTTTTTTACAAAGCTAACAGTATGGTTATGTCAATGATTACTTTCTACTTATTGTTTCTAACATATTATTTCAGGTTACACTTAATCCAGGTGCAACGTACATTCAAAAATTTGTAGTTCATTTAAGTGCATTTTGGAACAGTTATGATATGATCATGTGTTTGTTATCGATTACTGGTATTATTCTACGTTATTATGGTATAGTTAATCAAAGTTATTATATGTGGGGTAAAAATCTCCTAATTATATGTTGTTCATTATGGTAAGTGTACATTTTACTATTTAAGCTCCATTTTCACGTAGCCCATTTTTTGTCAAATAATATATATATATATATATACATTGTATAGATACTTGAAGTTCCTGGGTTTGATCCCTAACACTGTCTTGGGCATGTACTGATAAGAAGCTCTTAATGATTAAAGTCATTCTATGATGTAAACTGTATTCATGTTGAACAATGTTTTGCATATTCTGAGTATATATATATTTATAGAATTCTCTAATAAATTCTAAAATTTAAACAGCTGTAAAACACCCTTTTTCAGACAAAAACACTTAAAAAATTAAGAAAATTTACATCACTCATTATTTCAATAAATATTGACAAAAAGGTTAGAATTGATTAAGAGAAGTGACTAGAAAGTTCATTCATTACGTGATGAGTCTTTCAGATAACCCAATTTCCTATTACATTAATTTCTAAAACAGATACTCATAGATGTTGAGCCTGACTAAGTGAATGATTTTGTGTTTTCTCTTAGTTTTACCCTTCTGGAATTGTAATGAGTTGGAGATCCATAAACATTTAACAGTTTTATTCTAATAATCCTAGGACACTTTATTCGGTAAAGGGAATATATTCAGTTCAATTGGTCAGTCAGTTTCATTATTCATAAGATTAGATATGAATACGTGTATCGATTCAGACTGCTACAGCTCACATATCACAGTCTGAAATGAGATCTAAATCAAAATTGATATGTAAACAGAGTATGAATTCAGCTGCGGCACACTGAGATCGAATTCAGTTTAATAAATCCATTATTAAACACTACTTTTATGCTACACTTTCATTTATTGTTACATATTTTGCTTTTAGGCAAATGCGTTTTCTTGAATTAATGCAAATTTGGCGATTTTCCGGTCCATACATTTATATGCTGGTGAAAATGGTAGGTAGTACCATTTTATTCATTATTTAATTTCCATTTCAAAAGACATGTTGATGTGATGATGATTAACTTAGTATATTGTGTCTTTTTTAGCGATTCTCCTGAGTAAATCGTGCACCACAAGATTCACATGTTTAAGCATTGTTTAATATACTACTTAAGTATTAATTTATTTTAAATTAAAAGTGCTTCTTATTTGCTTTAGTTTATTCACTCCCACACGTATCTGCTACCTTGGCACAGTAGCTGGGCTTGACTATCATGATGATCCAATCTAGCCATATTGGATGAAATCAGTAAACTTAAGGTCCTAGAACAACGTCATACTCCCGACTGTACTAGAGTATAGCATCATTAATGTGTTTTTCACAAATACCTAAAATCCATAGTTATGTTGCCTTACCATAATGGAAGGGGATTGAAGCAGGTCAATCCTAAAAATGCCACATCTGACATTGCCCCACGGATTCGCGTTACCAGTTGCAAGGAATTAAAATTATAGCACTAACGCACCTAAAACTATTCATAAAAAACCTGTGTCACCGGCCCCAAGCAGTTGTCCTTCGGAAAGTGCAGTCACACTCCTAAGTCTTTAATTTCACCACCAACCCGGTTTCCTTCATAGATACCTTAGGAAGAAGTATCTCTTCATAGAATGAGTAACCATGATATGAAAACTGCCCTACTGCCCCTGACAGCACTCGAAATAATGTTGCTTACCTATTTTTAACCTAATTTAAGTTTAAAATGAGGAAGCCAAAGCATATAGTAGTCACAATTTCAAAGATGATTTCTGGTTCAGTGATTGATAAAGAGAAAAGTTATCTTGTATTAGGGTGTAAATACCAAGCTACACCAATTCTTAAAATGACATCCAAAGGTTTATTCTCTTCTTCAGCCGATATAAATATAGTAATCTTGAGTTATATTTCTTGTGTAAAGCGATCAAATTTGAACTTAGTGGATCTGTTTCACTAGATTTATAATCAGTTCGTCACTGTACTGAAGCCGAAATGGACTTAGCGCAGGAACTTGCCTATATGACCCCATATTTTACTTTTTGACCCTTGATATAGTCTTGTATACAGTTTTTGGATAATCTTACACTGTCTCGAAAATTTCAGTGTATATTCCTGTCAATTGATAAACTGAATATCATTGATCAAAAAAGATTCTCTAACGATATCCCTGGATACATAAGCCCTCTGTATGTTTCAATTGTCCACCTATTTACATACATACATTTGTTTGATCACTTATCAAGAATGAATTCATCTATACTAGTTTGCATAGACGGAACCTCGAGAAAGAGATCCTCACTTTTTCTCATACACCTGATAGAATGTTTGAAGAAAATCAGTTAGTAAATTTATAACTACTTCTACATTCTTTCTTATCTGATAAAAAGTGAATCACAATAAAAGAATTTTTCTTGCGGTATCGAAATTTTCCGTAAAACCATCTTCTTTTTTCATTCTCTACAATATTTTTATTTTTACTGTCATGATATACTTTTAGTAAGAACCTGTCAATAATCATCTTTATATGACTTTTATAACCGTTTTACTTAATAAATCGTAAAATGAAGTCTATATTATACGCAACCAAACATTATATGAATTAAATTTACTATTATTATTTCGAATAGCTTCAAAAGAAAACGTTTTTATGTCCATAATTAGAAGGGAAACTATAAGTCTGTTGTTGTTGTAGTTATTGCTTGCATAAAATAAAATAAAAACGATGAGCATAACTAAAGTACAGAAAGCTAGAAATTATTGAATTTGCATCGAAATTATTACATAAAATGTAAATTTGAAATTTGTTGTTGCAGCAAGTGAAATTCCGGAATTTTCGCTCATTAACAGGAAACAAACTTATTGTACTAGCGTTTGTGTATGCAATTTAAATACTACAAAAAGTAAACTACATTGATGAACTAATAAGATTTAAGGAGCCTGCTCTGGAATTATTGAGTGAAATTTAAAATCCCATGACTGATAGCTTATAATTCATCAAGAGCCACGTATCAACTGTGTAAACTTTAACATTGAAAGACGAACTTCAGTAATTTCTAAGATGATGAAAAGATTAGGTTTTTCAAAATAAAATGAAGTGATATACCCATGACATTTTAACATGATTTACGATCTTTTTCGATTATAAAGGCTATCTGCATAAACACTCATTATTATAACTACAAAATATTCTTCCACTTCAGTTTTAATATGAATTTACCATTTTAGTTGTTCTTTTTTAGTAACTAAACACTTTTCTGATTAGCTAAGAAATTTTCCAAGGTCATTGGTACAGTTTTCTTTACCAAGTTCCTTCATAATTCACAGCGAACACAGTTTCTTGAGACTATAGATTGGAAATCTAATAGTGTCTATTTTCAAACTCAATCAATCTTCAACATACCCGCAATTATCATCTAATCCTGTCAGTAATTAGCTAACTTTCTCTTTAAACGGTTGGTTTCACAGGTTACCACTCTACAATTAACATCTTGCCTTTTGTAATATGACAACTGGGATTTCAAACCCCAATTTTTACTATTTCTTCAGTATTTGACGATTAGTCCTGTTCATTTATACGTACTAACTGAAAACTAAACTGTGAAATTTTTCTATTAATTTATGTTACAGGTTCGTCTAATGATTCCTATGCTTTCACTACTGTTTCTCCCACTGTTGGCATTTGGTACAATACGTCAAGGAATTATGTATCCTAAACATACCAATGTAAATCTTGAAGCTGTTAAAGGCATTATGCTTAAACCATATTTCATGTTATATGGTGAAGTGTATGCTGGTGAAATAGATCGTGAGTGATATCTTTTTAAATTTTGTTACATCTATCAAACTGTGATAGACTATAATTCAGTTATATGACGACCGATTGTGGATTTAACGTACATAAATCTGAGCATCCAGAATCTAATGAACTGAAACTTAATAGCATTTGAAATTTTAAAATTAAACGAGTGTTTCAAAGGCTACCTAGACGTGTTATTATAAATGAGAAAAATACAGTTTTTATAATAATAAAATTAGGAACGATAGTTCGAGGAGTGAAACGTTTGACTTCCATTCACTAAGTCGTATGTTTGAGCTGAACACTAACCACCACCATTTGAGGAACCGGTTAATATCACTTGACTTCACATTTAGCTCGAAGAACAGTATACAAATTTGTACCTGGTAACGTCATAAAACTGTAAAGCCTTCTACTAACAAGTTTACTAAATTTGCACAAGCATCCCAGTTCAAATTAATCTACAGTTCAGTGTTCTTTGGCCTAGAATAATTTCTGTAAATTCTTAATGAAAATTATCTTCAAAATATAATTAAAAATTATGTATTTATAGTTCCCTCTAATATTTATGACTCCAAATTTTCATCCAACTACTCGTTCAAACCATATGGGAAAAAGACTTTTTCTAAGAAAAACCGCCTAAAAATAAACGAAATACCGCTTCACACAATTGGTGCCTATAAGTGTGTGTATCCCTTTTTAACATAAAACTACTTGAAATTGTAGTGAACAAGAATACCAGTGGGAAACAATCGAATGTATTGGACACAAAATTACAGGACAATCATACAGTAGATGTTTAATTTGCAAAATGTCCATCAATCGTCTCAAAATGACTCAGACTTCATTGTTCCTGCATTTTCATACAAATTGCATTCTGTTTCCATTCTTTACTGTTCGATCCTCTTAGCTCTCTGCTGCCAGACATTCTGTTCACGACTAACATCATATACTACTTATGTTGACATAAGTAGAACACACCACAAAATTTGTCATTATACTTAAACTTTTAAAATTAAGGAATACGCAATTGAATGATTACATTTATAACGAGTACAGTGATTCTGGTAATTTGTGAAAATAACAATTTTAAAGTGGAAATTTCTGGTCAATGTAAAATGAAATTATAGTTTGAATCTCATAAAAACAATAGCGTTTCATAATGATGTATACATTTCTAGTTTTTCTAATGTAAAATGTTTTCGCATGGATTATTTGGTTTCTATTAATTTTAAGTTTCTAATGATATTAAGTGGAGTAGACAACTAGGGCATTTTTCTTGGAAATCTCATCAACTCTAGTGATTGATAAAATTCAAATATCGATAGTACAAGAGAGGTGATTGAGACGTGTATGGATAGTCATAGTTTAGTTTAATGCGATATACTAGGTACGTGAAATTGGTTTGTAAAAGTCTAGTGGCTTATATATCCAACTTGAGTAAATTCACGAAGTAGTACTGTTGTGAACAGAACACCAATGGTGACAATCGAATGTATTACAGCACTTGTTAATAAAATCTAACAACCATATCGTGAATCGTTAATTTGCAAAATATCAACCCATCATATCAAACTGGACTGTTCCTGTTGCAAACATCAATCGATTGTCTAACATTTCATTGTTCATGCGTTTTCATACAAATTGCATCGTGTTCCCGCTCTTCCTTTCTTGATCTTCCCCCATCTTCTGCTGCCAGACATTACGTTTAAAACTCGCGTCATATACTACTTATATCAATATAAGTAGCGCGCACCACAGTACAACTTTCAGGTTTGATTATTATCTCACTTCCGACATGGTTAAACTCCACCAGTCATTACTTTTCGCTAAAACCTGTTCAATTTAACTTGAAGCTGATTGCTAGTGAGCGAAACAAACATCCCTTGCTTAAGGTTTTCCTACTAATGTTAATCTGTGATAGAAATTATCATCAACCAGAGATAATCTGCATAAAACGCCTCGGCCCTAATTTTATTGATATATTTGCAGTCAAATGTAGGTCTCAAATGTTACATGATTAGTCATCTTAAATTTCATAAGTATATACTTCCATCAAATATTTTATCTTAAGTCGATAGAGTAATGCCTAAATTATTTAAAATAACATTTTCCCAGCCAATAACTGTATATTAGTCGACTTTTTGATTGAAAACTGATTTACTCATCGGGTCAATTAATCTTCTAGATTTGAATATAGTTTTCATCACAAACCGAGATCGGACAAGGAACCATTCAAGAACAGCTGGTTTGTTCTAGTTTGAAAATTTGAAATATATGGTTGGCTTGTTGTTTTTTCTTCTGCACTCCGTTTAGTAGCGATTCCGAGGTCGGCCCCATGACCAAACTATCAGTTTGCCCATATTGATCATTCTGTTCCATGAATTCAGCAAATATAGAAAAATATACAAATGATAGACAGAATGAACAGAATGACATGTTCCTTTTTTCTTGATGTTGCTATAAAACGTAGGAAAGACGGGACAATCCAACGTTCGGTTTATCGAAAAAGTACTTGGAACGGCCTTTACCTGAATTTCAATAGTTTTTGTACACTCAGTTACAAGAAGGAATTAGTTAAAACACTATTTTATAGGGCAGAAAGTACATGTACCATTGACAAACTGGAAGAAGAATTGATGAATGTGGAAAAATGCCTACGAGATAACTTTTACCCACAAAAGTTTATTGACAAATATAAAAAGCCTATAAAACAATACTGAAGTAATTACGGTCAATAAAAAACCAATAACTATAAATCTTGACTTCAAGGTGATAATATTGCAAACACAATCAACAGGAGACTGAATACTGCTCTAGCCAGAACTTATCCGGCTGTCAAACTTCTAGTTCTGTATAAAACAACATGTTTAATAACTTAATCAAAGGTTGATAAGCATCCTTTTCATGTTACTGCCAATTGTATTTATAAATTTACGTGTACCTGCTGAAGCAGCTACATTGGCCGAACGAAAAGGAGGGCATATCTTAGATCTTTTGAACATGTTCCTAAAAGCCTCAGAACAAGAGAAAGAAAAACTCTTAACAGTGCAGTCACCAAATATCTCCTTGATACAGGACATCAGGTCGATACCCTACAATCATTCAAGGTGATTAGTCAGCAGCCAAACTCCAGTCTTCTGAATTTTGCTGAAGCCGTTGATATCAGACGCCAAAAACCTGATTTATATGTTCAAAAGGAGATGGTTATTAATCTTTCTTTGCCTTTGTAATTAATATTCCTTCGCTATATTTTAATATATATTTTTTTTTCTTTTTCTTTAAACTCTTTCTTGCGTTTATTACATCATTGAGTTTTATTTCAACTATCTTCATTTTATTCCTATCAATGTTTACTCATTATATAATCACTTGTTTCTAGCCATTTGAACTGTTGTCACAATGTTGTAGAATGTTCTTTCACATAATTTATATATTTACAATATTCAGTCTATTAATTTTATTTACACCGTTGCTATATTATATTAATATATCTTCAATATAACTTCCAACTAAACCCTCTCATGTAAGTAATTTAAACCCATAATGTAATTATGATTTTAAATGTCACAGGTTGTAAGCAGCTGATGAGAACCAACGAAATAAAATGAATTCATGCTATTCTGGTAGAATGTTTGTTCTTGCTCTTTTCGAAATGATACAGGGAACTATGTATATGAAATGATAGACAGTCTAGCTCAGCAAATGTAAATCTTCTTAAATGAATAAATATTTTATCTTTTAATCTGGATGGTTGAATTCTAAAACTTAAATTAATTTTATAATTGTCATTATTACATACTTCAAAAATAATTGTTCTCTAGCATATCATTTAAGGCTTCATGATTAAATCATTCAACCCAGTGAGTACAACACTAAAATCATTCTCTTTCTACTTTCCTACTAAATAAAATAGTTTTATCTTTTCTAATGTAGAATAGTTCTTCAATATAATTATTTACATACTTTCATAATAATTGTAAATTAGTCTATTTATATACAAAATTTATTATACTTATTATCTTAATGGGTGGTAAACGTAATTGGTTCATTGAAACAAGTCAGTGTTTACATATCACATTCCGTTATATTAATTACAATAAAATAAATACTCTTAATACTTTCTTTTAGCCAATCAATCATTATGTATACTTTTGTATTCATTAAATTTTCGCAATCATTCAATAATTCGAGCCAATATATTATGAAATTTAGAATATACTTCTATATGGTTAAATACCTATTATTTTAGTGTCCTCTTTCATTCCAAACAAACTCATGTGATATTTAGATCTTCACACGATAAGAATAATAATTCATTATATTGTGATAATTACCATGTTATAGTTAATTATTTTCTGCAATCTGAATAAAATTTAGGTTATTTACTCGAGGGCGTTAGGGATGAAATAAAATAAAAGCTCTCCTGTCAACTAACTTTATAAAAGAAACACAAATGATGAAAGAGAAAAATTATCATATTGAAAATGTTCTAATTATACTTGTATAGATCAAGTTAGATGGATAAGTAAAAGATTTTAAACATTAAAATAATGTATTTGAAGATAGTTAAAGAACTCTTGACATCTAATTAATGACCTAGCACACTCTAAAAGCTATCTTTAAGACGGATTTTTTCGTAAAAGACTGTAGTCTTTGTGATTAACCAAGTTAAAATTGAAGCAGCTAACCATTAATAATCACTTCAAAATACCATTAAATTAACTGAAGTTATTTTCCAACCTAGCGTCTAAATAGTATCATCCTTTCTACAAGATTTTTATGTTCTGTCTTGTGTGTTGAGTTCTGGATACATATTAACGAAGTGTCCTAAACCAAAATGGAATAACAATACGCTTACTTCATTGTTTAACTTCCTCTATATCTTACCCTCTATTTATTACTTTTTTGATTTAGTTAGTTTACGGTTCACCTCATGTTTATTCATCCCTATAATAGATTCGTGTCTTTATTTTATTTATTTTGGTATTTACATATATAAATATAGTTAGATGATGTTATTCTCAATCACTCCATCTCAATAATACTACCCTTAGGTTTGATTCCAAGGTAAATGAATATTAATGATTGACTACTTAACAGGCAAAAGTCGATCATTAGGGGAAAATATAGCTGGATAGTAGTTGTCAGAACATTGTTTTGAAGAAAATTTCCCCAGTTATATTCGAAAAAATGCTTTATTTACAAATAGCAACTATTATTTTGAGACTTATTATGTAAACAGTTCTCAAATTTTACACCCCACCGAACTATATATCTGCGATATTACAATCTGGTTAGTAACAACTTTGTTTCATTTGTTTGCAGCTGATTCATGACAGTATCCTGGAGATGTTTTAACAAATTTACAAATCTCATTTGAAATTTCAAGTTATTAAGAATACTCAAATCTGGTCTCTAACTTGGACAGAACGATGACTCTGCTGTCCAGTATAAGGTCATATATTAATCAACAAGTCCTTTATTCAGTATAATTACCCATGTTCTAATTCAGTTATCTATTATATGATGTAGTAAAAGTCAAATATGTGAGCTGATTGTTAAATGTCCACAGTTTAAGTCACCAAGTCAGGAAACGGAAACAAAGATATGTGGTCAAAAGTTTGACAATTACTCTCTTCTTATTGATTTCATCTCTCTTTTTCTCTTGATATACTGCATTCACAAGATCGACAGGAACATATGTTTAGCATCTTTTTAAGGTTACTAGAATCAAGTACAAAAAGGACACGAATGTCATTGGCTTGTGGATCTCTCTAGAAATGTTCCAAAGGCACTGATTAACTAAAAGTAATTTGAAACTTTTTCTAGATTTTTGGGATCTACTAGACATTGACAGATATTTCCTAATACGACATTTTATGGACTTCATACTTTTCTCAAAATCTCCTATCAACTTGAACATCTTGCATGTTATAATTCTTTAAAAGACTTTTTGTTCATCTAGAATGTTTTGTTCCTTTTCTTTACTCTTTTCTAGCTATTGATTGGCCCAGTGAGTCACAGTCTGCACCATTTTTAGAAATTGTACCAATCGCAACAGTGATATATCTGTTATACTCCATTATTCTATTTGTCAACGTTGTTATTGCTGTATTCAATGATATATTTGCTAGAGTACGTCAACAATCTGAATTAGTTTATAATTATCTACGATATGCAGTGATTATTGAATATGAATCTAGACCATTGTTACCACCACCGTTTATTATTATCTCTTGGATTTATATGTCTATACGTAATATATACCGGTGAGTTTTGCCTATCATTTTCCTATTTGAATATGTTTTTCATCATATACTTGACGAACACTACTTTCTGTATGTTAAATACACACATACGGTCGCATAAAATGTTGAAAAATCTACGCTTTGGGAAGTTTCAGATTGATTTAACATTTGCCAAAGTAAATTCATTAATCAGTTGAAATTTTATTACTATCCCTTCCACATAATACAGTTTTATAAAACGTTTCATTACATCTCGAATTTCTTCACATGGCAGTTTGTTCTTATTTCCTTTCTTCAACAATGTGCGCCATATAGTAAATGATTACTGAATGGCAATTAATGTCATATTGTCTAGTCTCTAGTACTGTTGAAATTACATCAATCGATTGTAACTTGGTTGTTATACTTGTTCGCCCCCAAATACCCTGGTACGGCCGAAAGTAAGGAGAGTCCGCTCACCCTCTCGAAATGCTCTCACATGGCCACGCGTATATAGCCTCTGCCAAGGAAGTCATACTCATTGCCTTCTGGTGGCGGGGGTGTTGTTCTCGAAATTGAGAGGACGAAAAGCGAATGTCTGGCACTTTAACCGGGTCGGTGGACATGGAGAGTTCAATTAAGGGAGTTGGAAAACCCTGATTCCAAACCAATGGTGTACATGGGTTCCAGTATCCTGAGGGGACAAATGGTGTATGAACTAACCGTTGGTCACTGACTACCATGGGACAGCATCTCCTTACGATGCTCTACTGTCTTGTAGATCAGACCTTCAGGCCGAAGGCTCCGGGTGTGGCCCACTAAGAAAATCACCTGCTTCGGTTTGGGCACCCGGGCAGTATCACAGCCCTCGCACAACTCAAGTGAGATTTGTGTGGCGCATATGTATTTGGTGCCTCCTTTTACCAATATCTATGTGTTCAAATAAAATAAATATAAATAAATACTTGTTCTGATGGCCGATACAACAGGAGCATTAGACTTAGATTTCTTGCTTCTTGGTACAAGTCAGTGAAGATTATCTATAATCTTGAAGAGAACTGATGTTCCCCATAGGATCCGAACCCTTGTTATCATATCTTATAAATAAAAATGTTGACATTGAATCATTTTAAAATTAAGATGTCTACACTAACCCTTATAGTTTTTATTGTCCGACCTTATTCGAATTCTATAATACCATAAAAAATATCAACGTAATCTACGTACACATAATACATTTCATTAAAGATATCTGAAACTTCCTGGCATTTCATTCGTATTGTCTTAAATTTGAACGAACTGTACACACTATACTCATATGGAAAAATTGTTTGTGTACGTTTATTTTTTTATGGTCAATGTAATTTTTGAGAGAATAACTTCCCTTTTTTTCTTCAAATATTTCATTCTGATTATTATTAAGCCCATTAACAGGGAACAAAGACGTATCTGCTAATTAAATACATAAACATCAAAATCTGTTAATTTAATATATCTAATGAATTATATGTAACATTCAATTAATTATGATTCATTAATTAATTATACAAAATACAGAGACTAATACAAGTTTATATTAGTCTATATTGAGATAGATCGTATCAACACTTGATTGTCTACATTGTTATGTCTTTTGCAGCAAGCACAAACGATAAATAAAAGTATCTTTAAAAAAAAAAAATAAAACAATTAAAAGACTAATATTTGAATGAAGAATATTCTTTTCGATAAATTCTCTTCAGGTTCTACAATTCATATATACAAATTAATAATCCGAAAAGTGGCCAGGTTAAGGGCAAAGAACATCGTTTAAAGCATGTGAATTTAGGATTGTCAAACAAAATACAATAAAATTGTTAATGTTGATATGACTCATATGGAATGTTAATTTGAATCAGCTTATATGTTAAGTGATCCATGATCTGAATAAATATGGGTCAGATAGGGTGAAAGAAATAACAATGCAATTACAATTCGATCAACAGTTTAATGGAAGACTATATTGTGTAATGGTTGCAATACGGCTAGACCTATGACGATTTTGGCACCCAAAAAGCGAGTTTACATTATGTTACCATTTAGAGGCGACACAAATAGTCTCATGTTGAAACGGAGACTTAAATTAGCTATCAGCCGGACATTTTATGCAGCCCAACTTGTCATTATCGAAAAGACAAGGTCTATATTTCACCAATAGCCCAAACAGCACCTAAGCGATTGTGTCTATCAATTTGTATGTATGTGCGGAAACACGTACATAAGAGGAGCAATTGTGATTTGCAATTAAGGTTGGATGAACACATACCAAAATGGCTGCAGAAACAAATGGATTCCAATGGTCGAATAAGATCACAAGATAGACCGACATCATCTTCCATTGCGAAACATTTGATTGAGACTGGTCATAATGTTGACAACAAGTCATCATTTATAGTGTTATACAAAGGCCTTCAGGGACGTATACTAAGATTTATTGAAGCCTTGGCTCTACGGAAATCGAAACCCCCTCTTACGCGTTCAAAAACAATTCGTCCTTACACTTAACCTACCCTGGTGATAACGATTTATTATCCCGAGTGGTGATCACATTGTTTTTGTGTACTTTAATATTATTATTTTGTTGTTACGGCTTACCTTTAACCTATCTAGTTGACCTTTTGATTTTCATATAAATATGTCTTAGCAAGTATATCGTGTGTGGTCAGAATGTTCGAAATGTATTGCGCAAATATATCACATAATTCTGATAAACATCGTCTTCTCATTGCATTATCGAGATTATATTGTGTAGAAAATTATTAGTACGACGTAATAAGGTGGGATGAAGGCGAAGTAACGGAATTATATATTGATGAGAATAATAATGATGTTTAACTAATAGTAATAATAATAATAATACCAAGATTTGTGAATAAAGATAACAGAGACAATTGCAATTGACTGCGAAAGGTTGTAAGTACAATAGTCAGATTAGGTCATTGAACAGCTAAGATTATTATTGATTAGTTGGCCTTGAGGTTGGCTAGAGGAGGAGGTGTGGTTGAAGATATTTCTTCTGTGCGCATAGCTCCAGTTTCTTCATCCGGATGCCTATTGCTTCAGCCGTTTAAAGGACTTTAAGTCTGACAAGCTTTAGCAAAAATTACTGACTCGATAAATAATTGAAAAGGATTGGTTTATACTGGCACTATGACCAGCTTGCACTAAAATGGGCCAAGATCGAGCTGTTCACTTTCTTCGGCAAACCTTTGTCTAGCCACGCTGGGAGGTATTCACGAGCACGGAAATGTAAATTCCTAGAACTGGTAAATACAAAATGAGGTGGTCATTCTAGGTAATTCATCTTTCAGCCTATGTGTCACCATTGGGCTCGCAGAAAACACTAATCTCATTTTCCTGGCGTTAAAAGATTTTCGTATTGTCCTATGTAATCTCTGAGTTAATATTTCACTAGCCGCATCCCCTCTGCATTGTAGGTACATGAACAGTTCAGTAAATCATTTACTGATAAAATGATCCATTAAACATTAATTAAAAGATTTAAAATGAAACTGACTGTAACATATGAGTGTTTGTAGTTTATTTACCAGAGAATGAAACCTAAACATAACTATCAAGTTTTGTTTCTAGTCCCCATTATCGTCAATCACTTAATTTAACATTTAAACCAACAGTACTAGTATTGTATGAATCTGAAAAAAATCACAATTATACAGACTAGACCAACTTTATTTAAGTTAAAAACCTAGAAAATGAATAATTCTATCATGACTTTCTTTATAAAGTAAAAACCAACCGCATTCAGGAAAACAGTTTAAATTAAATTTAGATAGTTTGTATAAATTAGAAAATCTAATTACATCATACAAGTCTTTGCAATGAAATGTTTTCATATATTAAAACAGCTAAAATATAAATATTTACCTTTGTTCTTACCGTGCATTTATCAAAGTATATTTGTATGTATATGGTTTATTCACAATTAGCTAGAAATATTTCTCAAAACAAAAATACTATAATGATTATACATAAGAAAGTGGTCCGACAGAATTACACTACAAACAATTAAGTGTGAAGAGAAATGTTTTGTTAAGCTTAAAAATATGTTATCATGAAGTAGATTTATTCAATTTCTATTACTATCATTTAAATTAATTTAAAATTAATTTCCTAGCATATTTCGCGCTAATGAAATTTCAGGCCTATATGATCTTCCTAACCATTGACGTCTATAATTAAATCGAAACCTTATCATGTTATAAAAAATATACTTACTTACTTTCTTGCACCTGTTACCGCTCGTGAAGGGGAATAGGCCGCCCACCTCCATCCAACTCTGTCCTGGGTAATCCTTTCCAGTTGGCTCCAGTTGCTATTCATTCTTTTTCATGTTTGCTTCCAAGTCCCGACGCACTGTGTTCCTTAGTCTTCTTCTTTACTCTTTCCCTTCAGGATTCCGAGTTAGTGCTTGCCTCGTGATACAGTTTGTTGATTTCCGAAATGTATTTCCTATCCACTTCCAGCATCTTTTCCTAATTTCCTCTTCAATTGGAAACTGGTTTGTTCTCTCCTACAATAGGCCGTCGCTGATTGTAATTTAAAATCAATTGATGTGTTCATAGATCATCAATGCTAGAATTCTTTGATTGTTTTGTTTAGAATTTCTAAAACATATATTTTTTTTAAAATTCTATGATTATTTCACTCATTTGAAACAGTTTACATTCGTTCTTTTTTGGATGAAAAATTATGAGCATTTCAATTAGTTTGATCACTTAAATGGAGTACATTTTATAAATTCACAATAAGTATTCAACTTTTTACGTTTGAATTATTCATTCATTACGCAATTTTCCTCTATAGGATATGAATTCTAGTTAGTTACATTAAACTATAGATTATACCTTGATTATAGTAAGAAATGACAATACTTTAGTTATACTACTTATTTACTAATAAATAATAAAATGTTATATATTATATTATTTGTAGAATATAGTGATTTCAATAGTTGAGATCACGAGTTAATTGAAGCTAGACCACCATAGAAAACTTGGAAGCACTGAAAGGCCGTTTCATCCCATTGTGGGACTCCTCAGCAGTGCGCATTTACGATCCTGCCTCGCTGGATTCGAACCCAGGACCTCGCGTGCGAACGCTTAACCACTAAACCACCGAGTCGGCGTTCAATGGTGTTAATGTCTAACTTCAACCAATTCACGAAATTGAACGATACATGCACCATTGTCTTCAGTGAATTTATTGTATTAGGGTTAAAATTCAAATAACTAGCTTATATTCTCTTAAATATTTTATCAATTTACTTGTATGTTAGTTCTCCATACGTTTAAATTATCATATCTAACCAATTTAACGTCGATACACGGGATGTAATTTTCATTAAAAGTTTCTATTAGCTGGTAAACTAATGGAAAACTAATAAGCATCAGATAGCTGTTTTATTTTAATAGTGGACTCCTCAAAAGAGAGCACTCAATATAAAATCTTCAGGATATGTTGGGAATACAAGCACTAAGTTGTAACTTCAATAGTTTATATGTCAATTAATCTATAAGAGCATCATCTTTATCCAAGGTTAGAGTGTAACCATCTAATGGCTTCTAGCTAGGGCTTCAAGAAAAATCATCTGAAGACTATTTCTTAGATAACAGATTTTGTGTAGACTGATTCTCTTTTCTATTCATCGTGATTTTGTATATCTATTCTACTAAGGAGTTATAAGTTAATTTCTACATGTGATACCATTTTCTGATGAAAATTACTTTCAGCATATACATATTGCAGACTTCAGACCAGTAGTCTATTTTGTTTATGTTTACCAGTGTACATCTAAACCAAGTCACTTGGAATAGCCAATTCAATTGTATTATATTTAATTTAATCTTTAATAAGGTCTGATACGTGCATCATGATTTTTCGAAATATGCTTCTCTATCCAAAAAGGTTAGTCTTTTTACATGACTGTTGATCATCATTCATTTTAATCTATATTTTTCAATCATAACTAATTATATTTATACATATATTAGCACAAACATATTTTTCAGTTTTCCTCTTTAATTCTTCCCTTGTTTTCATGTTTGGTCATTAGAAAACTCTTCTTTGTCTACTTTTTTCTCCTAATTTGACATTTCACTTAATTGTCAACTCCTAACCCAATTTTAAACAGATGAATATGATTCTTTGAATAGTTTTCTATTTTTGTTATTTTTCTCTTACTTTGGTGTCATTATTTATCAAATAAGTCTAACATATTATTAATCACCTAACATAGAAGTCAAATACATTATTAATATGATTTACAATTCATTGAAGTGTTAACCAATTCAACTATTACTTATGTGTATTATCAATTTATTTGTAATGTGTTTTTTTTACCATTGTGATAGAATTCGTAAAAAGCGTCGAGCATCTAATCAGTCTAATACACTAAATCCTAATAATCTATCTGATGTACAAAAGCAAACAAATCAAAATGGTAATAATAATAATAACAATAATAATCCAAATTCTCCATCGAAATATGATTCACGAAATCGTCGAGATAATAATGAACCTCAAGATATATTGATTGACCCAGCGACTACGGAATTATCGGCTGGTCTAAGTAAGTTTTCATTCAGATTTCTTTACATTTTACATATTCAATACAATTTATTCCGTTACGTAGCATAAAATATTCTAGGTAGAAATGACTGACTTTAAATTATAATCCACAATTCTCATGTTTTCAAATGTTAAAATTTGTGTTATTATATAAATACAAAGGTGTTCACCACAGTTTACTTTATGTCTTGTCCATTAGTGGTGAAATCGATTTTTTTTCTCCGAGCTACTGATTGATTGGTAGTCAATCTGCTTAAATTGATAAGCTAACTACCGATAAAATAATGCAAAGAAACTTTCATGGTTTCAATTTACTGTAACTAATTAATGGTTCCTCTAATACTACAATAGGCTAATCATAATCCGGAGAATACGAAGGTTACCTGGTACTAAACGAAAATCTCCTCAAGGACAAGTAAATGTCACTGGTCAAGAAATGGGTTCATTTTGCATATGATTCAGTAGCACGATAATCTTTCTCTTTCTCCCCTAGTTGAAGATTAGGGCCTTGTAGTAAGAAGTTGGTGTATTAGTATCAGTCTCGGACATAACCCATCATAACAGCCTATCGCTCACACTACATTTACTAACGAGTTATCGTAAAATCCTTACTATCTCTAACCCCTCTAGTTTAAAAGCGACCACTGTTCTGTTTGTCATTATGTTGTAAAACATCTTATCAAGATGAATAACAGTTCATTACAGTTGTAAAAATATTTAATATATATTTCTTTCTTGAATTCATGTAATTAAAATGTAAGTTAAGGGAAATTCTTTAAAATACTTTGTAACGAGAATTTTCTACTTTGTCCAAATATACATTATTGACTATAGCAATTACATTTTTATCAATACAAAAGGTAATCTACAGAATGTCCAAAGAATTTGATGTTTTTACTGATTGATCATTAGATAATAACTAGTTCATGTTTTCTAGTCTATATTGTTCTTTTGATCACATTGATCAGGTAAGTGATGTATATGGACATCAAGGCTACTGGCTTAAAAATGGTTTTATCTACGTTTCATTCTTCGTTTTGTGTATTTACAACCCTAATGAAATTAATACTTCTTCAAGCATTCTGATATCGGGTACTAACTAATGAATAATTATATATTTTGATATCATTTCCAATTAAGTTCTACAAACAAAGGTTGTAATATTCTTTTACTTAGTTTTACAATACTGGAGGCACAAACTATCGGGTCTCAAGGCTTCAAGGAACTTGTGCAACCTAGAAAATTTAAAGCCTCGTTACCGATTTATGTAGTCAGAAAAGCTACTGATAAACTGACAATTCTATGTACAGTGATCTTTAAGGCTATCTCTTAATGATTACTCCTTAGTACAGAAATTACATTCATAACTTTTCTATCACCTAATCCCAACCACCTAATAAAGGAAATAATAATAGATCGTTGATGTGGTTTATTTTTCTGAGAATGAAGGATGTTGTTTTTATTTCTGTACTCTAGAACTATTTCTAAATCCAGATGAAGTTGAAAAATTGCATGATTTTGAAGAAGAATGTGTGGAGGACTATACACGTGTTACAAGAAAAGCTGAATTACACAAAGCTGAAGGTCAAGTCGAAATATTAAATAAAAAGTAAGCAAAATTTAGATAATAATCACTCCCAAATTATTTTATGAGAAAAACAACACTATAATTACACAAATTAGAAAACAAGATATAAGTGAAGAATATTATTCCCGAATTCAATCATCATGTTTTTCATCTGCTAAATAATAAACATCAGATGAAAATAATAAACATTTTTCCAATTTCTTTATTAACCCTTGAACATCTTAGCGAAAAGTGTAGGATTGTAACTCCTTTATATTACGAAATCATCGGAATGGATGATACATGATCTCTGCTTTCAAATAAAGTATGAAGAAAAAAGAAAATTACGGGACATTAGGACTATGGTAGAAGAAAAAGTCGTAACAATTTCGTTTGGATGCGCAATTCTGGTTTTTCTAGATGTATTGCTATTGCATCTTCCCAACATTGTCGAAGCAATAGTTATACATCTAGAAAAAGAATTGTGTCCAAAAGAAATTGTTACAACCTCTTCTTCTACCATGGTCTTAATGCCTCGTAATTTTATTTCTTTTTCATACCTTTCTCCCTTCACAGTCATCTGCTTCACTTTCTATCTTCTATATAAACAATTTGCCCCCCCCTCAACTGCTTTATTTCCGTCTCTATGATCCTCATGATTACATTTCATCTCAATTTTAACATTTTATCTTATCATGCTCATCCCTCCTTTCCCATTCATAATTTCCCTATATATGTTCATGATCAATATTCAAACCGTTACCTAAAGTATTATTAGTGTCCCTGATAAAAAATAACGTTTTAATACCCTTTTTTCTTCTACCTTACTGTTATCATATTTAACAGAATTTTATTATCACTATTATTGTAGCTAGTGTAATTATTATCAACCTGAAAAATTAGTATATATTTGCAGTTGTACAAATTTTAAAATGAGTTCGCCGAAAAGAGAACTCATTGCTGAACCAATCTTCCTCATTCTACAAAGTCTAAATCACGGATTGATCTTAGGTAGATCACCATTGAAAATTAAGAAGCACTGAACAGCTGTTTCGTCCTATCATGGAACTTTTCAACAGTACTCGGCATTATGTATTTAGAACGAAACAGTTTTTATTCTTTCATTATTGTAAGTCATCTTTATATTTACAGTCGATGTGGATTAAATCAAATTTTTAGTTTTTTAACTAAATTTTACGTTTAATCTAATGTGTTCAAATATATCATTACTTGATTCAACTATTAATTTGGAAATGGTTCCCATTACCAATTAACTTCTGTTGATGAACAATTAAAAATTGTGAAACATAGTTATTTTGACCTAGTTTTGTGAACTCTTCAATAGTACACATACATAACTCAACTAAACAATTATTAATTAAAACTCTTAACCACTTTTGTTTACTTTTAAAATGTATATTTTCTGTTCTTACATGAATGTATAATATGTTCATTTGAACTTCCCACAGAATTGATCACTTACAATTTCGAATGGATGAAATCCATGTAAGACAACGTCATTTACGTGGTTTAGTTCATTTAGTTGAAGAACATCTAGTCTGTATGGAGGATAATCTACATACAACAGGAGTGATAAGTCCATCACCAGGAATTATTCATCATCAATATAATACTAATGATATGGAACATCTGACAATGACAACTTCAACAACAACAACAGTAAACAGTCATGAAATACCTTCCAATTCCATTGTAAATAATTCAAATGAAAAAGATATGATATTCACTTCTAGTTTATTATGGTTACTTAAACGACAAATAGCTCAAGATTCAGGAACTACTTCAAATGGTATGATGTGAAAAAAAAGTAGCGGTTATCATTAATATTATTTTTTTATTATTATCATGATAATAAGTATAATTACTAGTATTGCTACTTTATTTTTAACTATTCATTTCCCAACAAATGTGTTTGTAATTAAAACATCTTTCGACATTAGTAATCATTTTTTGAAATGAATATTACTGTTTATGAAGCTTCTAATATCGTTGCAGAACAATAATGATGTATGACCAGTGAAAGTAAAATGTGATTGGTCAGTGACTTATGGTATACACACTCAACTTTGCTAAATGTCATGACACCATTTAATATCGTGAATTCATTTCTATCACTGATTTCTACTCTGATTTCACTGTGGACTCTGCTCTGTTTGTGGACTGCTAGTATTTTTGTTAAATAAACTATTGTCTGACTTATTGTCTGGTTCTGAATTGTTGGTCGTGAATCGTATATATATTCCATTGTGCCGATAGAGCGTCCAGTCTACTCTAGTATTGTCATATTATAATGAAAACAATAAACATTCTCGCATATAATTTGTGCTTATTTCTCCCCGTTTATATATTGAAGACTACAAGTGAACAGTCTCTTTTGGTACATGGGAATCCTGAAAGGATTAACTCGAAATAACGATTTAATCACAATTTTTTATTTAAGTTGAGTAGTGACTGACTGTGGAATTCATAAGACGCGTGAAGAGACAAACTGCAAACCATTGGCTATCTAGACCCAGTAGATTAGGGATTAACACTTTATCATTCAAAGTAAATGGTACTACGTTCGGGCTCAGGTGCGGATATTGACACTGAAATTCAGGCGTGCCCAGCCGATGAGTAGCAGATAGGATGAAATGCGCTTCCCTAACTCACTGCTAACCACTATCGAATATAACTGATTTTCGATGACAGATTGATTTCCGATTAACTTTCATTTATTTACGTAAGTTTATTAAAATAATCGATAACCAAAAATAATTTACTTATAACGAGTAAACATCAAGTAGGAAACCACTGGAAACCAAGGAGCACTGGATTAGTTTGGGACCCTTTATAAACGACTATCTTAGAAATGGGTTTTCAAATTTCTGGTGAGAATTTGTAACCGTACAACTAGGCTTTTTATAAGACGGATCCAAAAAAATGAAATATTGAGTGACATCATTTTGAAACGTAAGAAATGAGGATTACTCAAAGATAACAATAGGATACGTAAAAAACGCACAACACAAATGAAACTATAATACTGGGAAGAAATAAGTAAATGATAGTAAAATCATAAATAGAAAAAAAAACAGAAATAGTGTTTAGTAAGTGGCATAATTCAGTTAAATATATAACCAAGAAAAACTTTTTCAGTTAAGGAAGTTCGTTTCACTATTGTAAAGTGTAAGAGTAAATTACGCCAGGATCATCACTGCCTTTTATTGTAAGGTAAACTTGGGAGTCGTGATGGACCAACAGGTACCAGTTTTGCACAGCTTTCTATCATAAAATAGCGTTATGACACTAACTGGCCATCTCTCCGCTCTTTCTACCTAGTCCGTATCGGTAAATAATACACGATGTGGAAGCCGCTGAGATGAAATTTGTTAACTAAGTCATCAAAGTTAGTGTTTCAAAATGGTGACACTAATTTATTGTCACCCTGTGCCTGGACACAAATATTCGAACGTAAGCTCTGCTAACTTGATGTTCCCATTGGATGTCAGCGATCCCACGAAGACAACGATGGTCGAATGTGGGAAGTCACCGTCCATCCCCATCCCAGAGGAACCAGACTTCACAAACATGGAGCAGAACCACACTTACGAATGCTTTGTAAACCCTATCTTTTACAGTCAGACTAAGGTCTCGACGGCACTATCTGAAATTAAGATAAGTCACCAAAACACTTTAATAAACGACTAGACTTATATTATATAACTATCGATTAACTTTTTACGCAGGTAGATATTAGTATGACTGAAAATGATCCATTACTACCAGTATCCTGTGATAATTTAAAAAGCAGTGAATTTCATATACTACCGATTAATTAAAACTCGATCACATGGGGACTATTTGAAGTACATAAATACAGCTACCACTTAAATTGTATATTACTTAACAAGAAGATTTAATCTCATAATTCGTTTTCCATAACTTTTAACACTTTGAAAAACCGTTTATCATTTGATTTCTCACATTGTTATCTTCTACTGAATTATTTTACTTGATAAAATAGTCGATATGTTTCTATTAATCAAAAATAGTGGTCGAATTCAGTGTCGTTTAAACAGTCCGAAAGAAAATCTCGAAACTTTCGACATGAGCTATTCAATAAACTGACAACCCAGATGGTCATTTTAAATATCATCTATTGTTTAAAAACATCTTGAAATCGATTTTCAGTTCTTGCTATAAACATCTAGTAAACAAACATTTATTCACAAATCTCAATATGATAAAAATCACCCGGAAAACCAATGAAAAACCAAGGATCTTGAGAGAGCGATATCTCCCAACTTTGAGATTTAGTAGTACATAACAACAGCTCCACGAATGTTTGAACCTAAGATTATCAAATCTCACGCCAAGTTAAAAACCAAATTAACTGCTACTCAGACTTCCCAGTTATTTAAAACTACGCTATTCAGTAGACTATTAGCTATAAAACACTAAATACAATTACGTAAGCTAAAGCTATAGTTCATATGACTTCCGAATCATTTCTTTTTGTTATTTTCATTGAAAACTTTCCTTTACATCTCTCTTTTTGTTCTTCCACTGATACGTTTTGACTTTAAAAGTCGTTAATCTTCTAATGGAAATCATTTTTTATGCATTTTATGTAGAGAATATTGATTATCCACAACAGTTGGCTCGTTCACTTGTATCACAACTTGGACGGCGTTCACGCGTACCTACTGGATCATTTAGTTCACGTCAGCACCAAAATCACTTAGATTCAGCGTTTGAAAGGTCACCAACTTGTTCAGTCCGTATGAAACATCGTAACGGTCGTACAGATCATAGACATTCGTTACCTACATTTGAATACCTTTCTTTCCCTCATTCAGAAGGACATTGTCATGGATCATATTACGATCGAATGCATGAGTAAGTTTATACTAAGTGCAATTTGACAGTTACCAAAGTTTATCTTAAAATTAATTGGTACATTCATTTCTACATGCTTTCTTCTTAGAAATGAAGTTTTTCTCAAAAACTATCGAAATTCTTACCATGTTGAGTTAATTAACCTATTCTATGTAGTTGTACAATAACAGTTATTATAATGATTAAAACACTCGACTATCAGTAATCAGATTGCAGGTCCAAACCACAACTTTATTTGTCTCACTTTTGATAGCACAGTCACTGAGTTGCATTAGTTTAGAAATTTATCAATAAATGGATCAAATACATACGGTCTGTCTAGTATATACGCGATAACTCAACATTAAGTTTTTAGCGAAGTCTGGGAGAAACACTTAGGAAACATAAAAAGTGTTAAGGGATGTTTATGGGTGTACTGGTTTAAAGAAAAGTAGCTTTTTAAGCGGATCAAACATTTCTTCGAGAACTATGAAGACTGCAAGGATGACCCATGGCTAGAACAATCATCGACCTCTGACGTTGATAAACACAGTAAACTTGTAATCTCTGATAATTTCAGATCGCTGATTCAATGTTTAAATGACTGCTGATGAGCTGAATTTCATGGACTCATCTCTGCGCAAGATTACTGCAAAACGTTCAGGTTGGGTATAAGCTCTTAATAATGAGACAGCTAAAAATCTTAACTTCTAAGAACATCCTCAGGTTTTTTAAACTATGTAAACGAAATGAGACATGTTCACAGCAACAGATAAAAGGCTTTTTATAAGGAGTAAAAACCAATGGAATTCCAGCTTCCATCAATTTACGATAAAAGTCAATAATAAATATCATTATCATATTATTTTGTCTCTTCTATAAATAGACGTGGTCGTAATCGTTTTCCTACTAATCGTATCCAGCACGGATCTTATCGAGCACCAGATCTAACTTATCGTGAATATACAACCATCTGTGATGATATAGATCTTTCTTGTTTAAGTTATGTAAGTTCTGTTGCTTTCCTTAAGGCTTATTATTACAACATTTTTTTAATGAAATAAGAATTAATATTAATCTCCAGGATAGTTTCATTACAAATCAGCTAGTCTGTTTAAAAACTAGAGCAAATTATTTTCAGCACTGATAACATAAAACCCATTGTCAGTTGATCCGAGATTAAGACAAATCAGTCGCTTTTTTCTTTTAATTTTTCTGTACTTTTTAACGGTCTACTAGTTGACGTTAGACTCATCATATTGTTTTTGATAATGTTTCAATGTACAATAATGGATAATCTATGAATTGGTTTAAAAAACCTAAAAGGCTAGAAAAGATTGAATATCAATCTATTGAATTAATTCACTTTATTGCTTTGAGCCGTGTTACAAAGTACAGACTTCCTACTTGATATTAGTGAAAATGAATATAAATATAGATAAAGATGCCTTCATATTTATCCGAGCATTGTGCAATCTTGACTTGTCTCACTTTCTTATTAAACCGCTTTATTGACAAAAAAATGTTTACATTTCATAAACTGAAATACTCACTACTGTGTTTACAAGATAGTTCTATTAATCAGTCTAACTTAATAGTTTGAACTGTGATTGCTTACGGGAAATTAATGAACTATTAATTTTGTTTTAATTCATTTATACATAAAACAAAAAATGGAGAAACTATGATTTACAGACGAACCAATCAGATTTACTATAACAGGTCTTGGATATCGTGCGAAATTCTTTATCCATTTGGTTAAATAGTGTCTTGGCTAGTGATGAAACCCCTAAATCTAATTGTTACATCATTGATCTGTCTACCCACTTTAGGTGCTGAGAATAACTTGTCTAATCTAGATTAAGACCTTGAGCGATAGTCTGACCGGCTTAACCTTGAGGCCAGTACGCGTGGGTTCGAAGTGGGGTAAAGAGAAGAAAACTATCCTATTACCTGATTGGCCGACAAGCACATAAGTGAAAGAAGACAAGTCAACTGGAACACTACCCGATTTCAGATCATTGTAAGAAGATACATGGATAAATAGATGACTAACCAAACCACAATGTATAATGATTAGGAAAATACAATTATGTCCAAAACTGGGGATTGGCGTCGAAAATAGAGTACAAAATAATACTTTTAAATTACAATAGTTTTTGATGGAGTTTTGTTCTCTGAGCTGGATGGTTTGGTCGTGGCGCTTTCATCATTCTTCTGAACGACATCATCAGCACAAACTTCAGACAGTAGTCCGCTGCCTGAAGTTTGTGCTGATGATATCGTTCAGAAGAATGATGAAAGCGCCACGACTAAACCATCCAGCTCAGAGAACAAAACTCCATCAAAGCCATCCACCTGAGCTACAAATCTTCTCCACCATCTCAAAATTACAATAGCTTCGGAGCAAAAAGGGATATGGCAGTGAATTATACATCAAGCGAAGGCTTATGTTCTGTAGGATAGACTAGGGACAAAAATAAATGTTAATGTTTTACAAGCTCTGAATTAAATGAAATAACGTCCCGCAAAATAGCTTCCGTAGTTTGTCAAGGCTTCTTGTTTCTCTGTTCACATCACTAATCCCTATCCCTAACTATCAACTGTAAATCACAATCTTTATCCTTGACACAGATTTAAAGCCCTCATTTAGTCCTAATCAGTAGGTGGATATTGTCAAGGCCACTTTAGTGTTGCTTTAAGGCCGTCCTTAAATTAACCAAAAAAAACATCATACAGTACTAAAAAAGTGTTACATTTCATCTTTCATTTATACAGTAAATAGACCTTTAATTTACTGTATATAATAAAAATAACCGTTAGAAATCTTATTCGTTATATTCATTGATTGTTACTTTAAACATGAATAATTTACATATAGAACAAAACAGGTTATCTTATTGATTTTGAATATTCATTTTTATCAATGAATATTTGTAAATATAATTTCTCTTTGGAACATTAGACGCCTTTTTTAGAGGATTAGCGGTACTACTGAATATCGAATTAGTTCAATAAGAATTTTAAATAAATGTTTTTATTTACAAGCAAATATATTTTTGAATTTGCTATGAATGAATTTTGCGAATCCAAAATTAACATATTCACTATAGAGTTTGAGTGTTCTAACTGAAAAACTAAACCTAAATAACTGTCCTATTATATAATTGTATTTAAATATCCTGCTAGTGAATGCAGGTATAAAATGATCAGTTTAACTTTCTGAAGTCTCCGGTTTAATATAGGTAACATCCAACATTCTTTTGAGTACCCTATTTTCTGATATATAACTGTTTTTTTTTCAATAAACGCGAATTTTCAATCAAAAATATCCATGTCTCTTCAGTGAGTGTTGGTAAAATGATTCACATAAATATTACAATTATTATTTATCTAATAGCCTAACAGTCCAATTATGAGTCCTAATGGTTCTCGAATAGATCTTACAAGTGTTGGTCCTATACGAAATACAAATTTACCAACAGATACTACTTTGATTAAAACTAAAGAATATTTACCGATACCGAAATATCAAAATATTCCATTCGTACCAATTGAAAATATAACGAACAGTTCAGTTAATCAAATTATTTCTTCCTGTATGACTACTGATTCTAATACTGTTATTAATACCATCTCGAAAGCATCTATAGAACCTAAATCTGCTCCAGCTACCCCGAAAGAAGAACGTGCATTATTATTTCAATCACCGATAATGGAAAATGGTACACAACGAAGTCAATCGCTTGCAACTTTACATACCAACACAAAGTCTATTGATCACCGTAAGTTCAATCTATGTAATTCATCAGTCGTTTTCTTAATTGTCAAGCCTAGACAACTTTTATTATGAAACCAAAGTCAGCCTATCCTCTCCGATTGTCTACTCACTATTGATTCATAAAGTACAAATGAACATCATCTGATTTCATTTGATGTACCCGATTTTGTGCCAGACTTGTATGTTTGGTTACAACAAATCTAATTACTTTGCAGTACACTTGCTGGCTATTCATACTTTTTGGAAACTTCTCATTCTTAATTATAATCTGACAAACATGATGATCGATTAAGGGCTGAGATTATATACACTGATTTCAATGTTAATAAGCTTTTTTGGATTTAGTACTATAAGATAAACTAGATATGATACTTGATGCTCTTATCAAAGCCAAAATCTCTTCTGAGGTCAGAATTTATTTTTATTTATTTATTTAAACACATAAATATTGGTACAGGGGGGCACCAAATATATATGCGCCACACAAAACAATGAAAATTTAAAGAGAAGGGAAAAAGAAAGGTAAGGAACGTAGACAATATCTATATTAAAAAAAGAACAAAAATGGGGGAAACGAAAAGGCACAATCGGGAGAAATCTTTCAGTTAAGGAAGAAGCAACCGCTTTTTACGAAGAAAGTAAAAGAAGGTTACAGCACGATCGCCACTGGCTTCTATTCTGAGCCATATCTGATAACGTCTCTAGACACTGTGTTACACCGTCTCTCGGACCCCAGCCAGGGAGTCGTGAAGGACCAACAGAAGCTAGCCCTTTGCAGCTTTCTTTCATACCACGACACCATGTCATATACTGACCACCTCTCCACTTTTTCCAACCAGTCCCAGAGTCGGAAAATAATGCACGACGAGGAGTTCTCTGGGACGACATTCGTAGAACATGTCCAAGCCACCCAAGTCGGTGTTTCAAGATGGTGACACCAATTGAATTATCGTCTCTGTGCCCGAACACACGATGCCGAACCTCTGCATTACTAACATGGTGTTACCACTGGATGCCAGCAATCCTTCGGAGACAACGATAGTCGAACACAGAGAGTCGTCTGACATCCTTAACTCGGAGAGGCCAGGTTTAACAAGCATAGAGCAAAACTGCTCTCACCGACGCGTTGTAGATCCGACCTTTTACAGCCAGACTAACATCACGAAGGCGCCAAAGATGGCCCAGATTGGCATAAGCCGCTCTGGCCTTCACTATATGTGCATTGATCTCATCACTCACACCACCACCAGCACTTATGCAGCTACCTAGATACACGAACTTCTCGACTACTTCTATCTGCTCATCATTCAGAGTGAGTACAGGATTAGAATCCTGCCAGTCTTGTAGAAGAACTTTGCACTTCGAAGGTGCAAAGCACATACCATGCCTACGGACATTGATTGCCAACTGGTTAAGTGCGGATTGCATAGCTTGGGCATTCTCGCAGAGTAAGACATTATCATCCGCATACTCAAGGTCGAGAAGTCTTTCTCCAGGCAACAGATCCACACCACCATTACTTACATCCGTCAGAGCTGTTTCCAGAATGTCATCGATGGCAAAGTTGAAGAGGAATGGTGAGATTGGGCAACCCTGCCTAACCCCACTGCTCGAATGGAATAATGGAGAAAGGTGGTTGTATGCCCTCACTCTGCCTGAGGTGTTTGTGTATAGGGCTTTTAGGATGTTAATAAACTTCTCAGGCAAACCTTTCTTTAATAGACAATCCCAGAGAACAGTTCTGTTCAACGAATCGAAGGCAGCCCTGATATCAAGAAACACTACGATTGTTGGCCTTTGATAAGTATGACGGTGTTCTAACATTTGGCGGAGGGTGAAGATATGATCAATACATCCTCGTCCAGAACGAAACTCAGCCTGCTCCTCGCGAGTCAATCTTTCTCGGGTTTTGAACAACCTACGAAGTATAACGGAAGCCAATAGTTTGGACGCAATCGGAAGTAGACTTATCCCCCGATAGTTGTTACAGGAACGACGTGAACCCTTTTTAAAGATAGGGACAACTATCGACTGATTCCATGACGTTGGTACACTCTCTAGTTCCCAGACCTTTGCAAACAACGTCGTCAGTCCCTTAGTCAGAAAGTCGCCACCATCTTTAAAAAGAGCCGGAGGTAAGTCATCTGGGCCCGGTGATTTGTAACGTTTCAAGAGTTGGAGTTCCTTGCGGACTTCCGCCTCATTTGGTGGATCAGTCGTCACCGGCCATGGAGGGCAGGACAGTCTGACCGATGTTGCCGGAGCAGCAGGCCAGTTGAACTACCCTTCGAAGAATTCTGCCCATCGTCTAAGACGTCGATGGATGTTATTGATTGGTGTTCCGTCATCCTCGCAGATTGTTTCGCTCACACCAGACTTCTTGCTTCCAGTGGCTCGGATGAGTTGGAAGAGCTTCCGGTAATACCAGATGCAGCTGCTGCTTCCAGCTCATTAGCACGCTCCGACCACCAGGCTTCACGGTCCTTACGCAAGCTTTGCCCAATTTCATTACGTAACATCCCTCGTCTGTGGTCAAACTCACGGTCACCCAGAGTAGACCGACGGGCTTCAATGAGTTGTAAGGAACCAGAAGAAACCCAGTGCTTGTAAGAGGGACGTTTCGCGAACCCACAACAGACTTGACCCGCCATTTTCATGGCGTCATGCAATTGCAACCAATGCTCATTCATACTTTTCGGTGGAATGGTAGCTAGCCTAGAAGCTAGCTCGATTCGGTACTTACTAGCAACAGAAGTTGCAGCCAGCTTGCTAACATCAATCCTTTGGTGGCGGTCACTTCGTTGTCCACTGAAAAGTACGGTAAGATTGGCGCAGACCAGGGTATGATCAGAGTTCAGATAGGTACTCCAAAAGGAGCGGCAGTCTTGTACACAACCACGCCAGCGGTAGCTGATCGCTATGTGATCAATCTGTATCCAGGCTTGAGATGCAGAAGGGGGACGCCAGGTGGCACATCGGCGATGACTGTGCCGAAAGTTAGTGCTAGCCAGAAACAAGTTATGGTCTGTGCATAGTTGCAGTAGACGTTCCCCGTTATCTGTCCTGCGACCAACGAGTCCCCATCGACCACCTAAACGACTCTTCTGTGCCTAGACGCCCGACCTGAGCATTCAAGTCTTCAGCTAGTACTACAATATCTGTCGAACGCACTTTCTGGAGAAGAACAGTTAGCTGGTGGTAGAACTCGTCCTTGATTGCATCCGGGCTTCAATCTGTCGGGGCATAGGCGGAGATGACGAAAAGACATCGTTTCTCACGCTGATTTCTTCTCACTTTGATGGAACTTTCTAATCTAACAGCACATAACCGACTGTTAATGGGGATCCAATCGATTAGTGCTGCCTCAGCTCTAGCGCTTAGTGCGACACCAACTCCAGCAAGACCAGACGAAGATGCCACAGGGTTCCCGGATAAACGCACATAAAACAAGCTTTTTGGAGCGACAGATGGAGAGCGAACTTGTAGTACTTCACCAGAGTCTTGAATACGGGTCTCGGATAGACAACACACGTCAATATTAAGACTTTCCAAAGACATAGCCAGCCCTATCTGTTGTCCGACCTGCATAAGTGTGCGAACGTTGAAGGCAGCCAGTTTGAATGGTGCACGTGGTTTCAGAAAAACTGCTTCAGTACTCTTATTCGATGGCAACATACAATTTTCAACCAGGCAGTGACACGAGAACGTTTAGATAGAGCCGAATGTTCACCATAGGCGAGCTGCTGTATAAGTCGAAAAATAAGGATAGACAGAGTGGGAATGAAAGAGAGTGAATAAATGACGTGCTAAATAATAATAATAATAATAATAATAATAATAATAATAATAATAACAATAACAATAATAACAATAATAATAATGTGAATTGTTTGACAGTAAATCGCAGTGAGAATAGTTTTCAGTGAATATCATAATTTTCATTATCATTATATTTGTGCGCAGGCTGATATACTGCCCGGGTGCCCAGACCGAAGCAGGTGGTTTTCTTAGGGGGCCACACCCCGAGCCTTTGACCTAAAGGTCTAACCCACAAGGCAGTGGAGCATCGTGAGGAGATGCAGTCCCATGGAAGCCGGTGACCAAGAAATTGGTTCATACGCCATTTGTTCCCGCAGGATACTGGAGCCCATGTGCACCATTGATTTGGGATCCGGTTATAGCGCCGGACGTTCGCTTTTCGTCCTCTCATTTTCGTAAACAACACCCCCAGGTCAGAATATCTTGGACCGAATTATCAATACAATTAAACATTTGTTCTAAAGGCTTTTCGAAATTCAAACCTTGTCCCAAATCAGATATCTTTACAATTTGACTCACGGATTAATTGAAAGAAATGCTTGTTAAAAGTGTGGTTTAAACAAAATTGTTCTAAAATACAGTGCATGTACTTTTTTTAGCTAATTCACACATATATACACGTGTAAAATATGTATATTTATGGTGACTGATAATTAGGCTTCTAATTACCAAAGTCAGTGAACTGAATTGAAGAGATAGCTATTAAAACTGTTTTATGAATTAGTTGTGAATTTTCAAGAAGCATAGTATTATGTTTTATTAACTATTAAACTATTACACAAGAAATGTATAGTTGTTTAAATCAAGTTCACATTTAATTGTTTGAAAAATTTCGGTCATTCTGGTAAATGATATTCATTTTATGATTAGAAATTTGTAAATACTGATTTACTATGATTTTGATAAAGCTATTAGTATTAAATAGCGAAACGTCAGTAAGGACAATTATGTGTAATATATAGTCACTCTTTAGCCACTAAATAGTTCGAATTCAGCGAGCGGGATAGTGAATGAGCACTGCTGTGTAGTTTCACAATAGCATGAAACAGCCGTCCAGTTCTTCCACGTTTTCAAGGAAGGGTTAACATCAATCGGTTCATGATCTCATTCAAAATAGTAATTTTTTTTATTTATCAATAGGAATTTGGTCTGCTTTGACATTTTATATTCATGAAAATATTTTGCATAATAAGCGTCAAAGGTCATTAAACACCATTTCCCGAAATACAGCACTATCTATTTATCTAGAGGTACTGTTGTAGTGAGCGAGAACACAAATGGGGATGACCAAATGTACTTGGATACATATTTACAGAAATATTTGGTAAAATGTTAATACCATACATTTTTATTACTTCATTTGCAAAATGTCCATCAATTGTCTCAGGCTTTTTTGTTCCTCCATTTCCATACCAATTACTCTCTGTTCCCATTTTCTTCTATTTGGTCTTCTCAACCTTCTACTACCACGCACTCTACCTTCGATGGTGTTACATACTACTAATATTTTTTGACATAAATAGCACACACCACACTGTCATTAAGAAAATAAGCTTCCTTGTTTTTTTTGTTTTTTAATCATCTGTGTTCATTCAGATGTTGGTATTTGCGATTATTTATTGATCGTAAGTAAAAATACTGGTATGAACCCCCTCCTGTATGTTGTTTTCTTTCAAGTCAACCCAAGCAACTACATATGAATTTATCTTAAATGAACAGTGTATTGTATTGCTAATAAATAATAATTATCTGTGGTACGCGATTGAAGACATTTATTAAGAGAATATAAGTGTTATTTCTGTATCTTTCAGTGGTTATCAGTTAAATACAACTACAATCTTTAAAATAATCTCACTATCTTTAAGGTCAAAACCCTAAGCAGTAACATAACTAAAATCACTGTCACTAAGCATTTCAAACTATAACTGACCATTTTTATTATTGGATAGTCTTCCGTCATCATTCAATAATTAATATCACTCTAGTTCATATTACTCACAATATTATGTTGATTAAATTCTCAGTGTAACTGATATTCTGGTATAATGTCTTTCATTTCGGCTTACTCACTATATCTTACATGAACTGAAGTTATTTTCTTAAAGAAGAAAATATTTCTCCAAACATTCAGAATATACAGTGCTGTTAAGTTTCAATATATATTCGATCCAGTCTAGGGATTTTCCACTAGATTCTTCTGATGTTTCTATATTCAATACAATGAATCAAAATATTGAAACATGCAGTACTATCCGATTTAACTGACTGAGTTTTTAAAAATTTGCCTGATAATCATCATGTATAAACGTAAGACTGAATAGTAATTTCGTTAATTTCCCATTGAATATGATGAATTATTATGTCTTAGTCCTGTTGTCAGCCTTTTAGACTGACGATTATGATTGTAATCAATGAGCACAGATCCATGAAACTGCTTTTCTTTTAATGAATAAATTAATAACATCTGAAGAGTTTGAATAATGCACTACCAGTTTAAGAGTACAGAAACAGGTACGTTCTCATGAATAATTGTTGCTCTCCAGGAAGAACTCCCCAATACTAAGGTGATTAACGAATTAATCTTAGTTTCTATGATCCACTCAATTTTATTATTATTCTAAATTATTCAAAACTACTTCATCTCTGCTATTTCGATTGTGAATAACTTGTAATGTGTACATTGGAATTGTTTCAACAGCGATGAAAGTTTTATCAAACGTAAGATAGTCATAACTCCTTATGAAATTCCTTAAGATTTCGTACAAAATGTCCAAATTTCTGCAATCTAATTTGATTATTCTGTTGTCTGGACCAAGAAAGTTTGCCGTTAATACCTATCTTATTATCCCTCCATAATTTCTGATATCTGCAAGATGACTGATATTACTACTTATATGGAACACTAGTAGTACGAATTTACGTGTTGCGAAATGTTAAGTGGTTTACGCTAACAAAATCTTAAACACAATAAAGGTAAACTGGTGCATGTACCACACTATATTTCGTAATCCCAAAAGGACAGATTCTAATTACGATCACTTCATTTTGTTTTTTTGTTGAGAGTTTTCAGTCTGTACTAATCGATCACCAATATCTTGTCGTCTAGCCCCTAACGTTGGGGTTGGACAATATTTGACATGATCTTATTAAATGTGACAACAATAACTACAGACTTCTTTTGAATGATCAATGGTAGAGAAGTATGTGAGTAGAAATTTTGAGTTGAAATGGGTAACATCAGAAAACTATTTAAGTAGTATTCTGGTGATTGTTACCAAACCGTATGATACTGACTTAACTATTTCAGCTGTCCCTTGTTATATATCTTCCAATAATTTCTCACTTGATATCGATTGGTTTAGACTGAATTTATCTTCAAATTGTTTCATTGTCTAACTTCAATTTATGTTATTAAAAATGTTTGTCATGGTTTTATGTTAACTATTGTTCCCTATCTAATTTTACAATAGATTCACTTATGCCTACCAAACAATATACAAGTTATGATACAAATTTACACTTTATCAACCCCGAACTCTATCCATATACTCATATTTTAACGAATAATAATACTAATCATAATGTAAAAACAACGAAAAATTCCATAGATATACAAAATTTCATTGTGGATTTAAAAAATTATACACAAGATATGAGTATTGCTAATGAAAACTATATCATGGATGATCATCGGGATAACAATGAATATGTTGATGGTGATGACAATGTTAATAATATTGATGATGAACACAACAGACGAAATGTTGAAGATCAAGATAATAATCTTGATGAAGATGAAAATATGGAAGAGATGGAAGATGAGATTGATGAAGATGATAGTGATGATGATGACGGTGATGACGATGACAATGATAATGATCTAGAAAATAAAGAGAGAAAAATTCAATTAGGTCTTCAAGAAGCTGAAAATGCAGAACGCATTGAACTTCAAGGTGCTATGCTTAGACGATTACGCAAATTATCTACTTCAGTACCAAGTAAACCATGTCATTTATCCGGTGTTAATAACTCTACTGCTAGCCATCTTGATAAACATAATAATGTTAAAATTATTACACATGGATTCAACCAAATTAACTCTCAAAAAACTTCTTGCTGGAATGTAAGTGACTATCACATGACGTTTTTAATTAATATTTTTACTGGAATGAACTTTATGACCTATTCAAAAGGAGCGATTTGATATAATCGAATGTGTAGACTTTTATACCATTGAAATAATATCAACGACTGCCTTAAATAAGAAATAAAAGAACTATGTAAATCAAGTCAAGATGAGCAAATAGACTCTACAAACTAAGGTTAATATAGAATTGTTTTCGAATATTTTAACTAAAAAAACTGAATCACGCATGACATTTCAAACTTAAAAGACAACATTTGTCTAGACTATTGAACTATAAAGACAAAACAACACAGGTTTTACAAATATTGAATCGCACGATGTTTAGCAGTTGATAAAACGTCACACTTATAGTCAATAAGGAGTTGAGTTCATCAAACAGGTATGTAAGAATTAAATTACAACATAGATGATAAATTGAAAAAATAGTGTATATCTTTACCAAACAAGTATTAGCTGATAACAAAAATGAATCGATAGTTATTCTTTTCAAATCGGTAAAGGTGTTTTGAATAAACGAAGTTTTAATGAATAATGTATCTAATAGAAACTAAATAAGAATAATGGAAGGTAAATGAATTAAAACACAATCAGGATGTGTAAACATTTAAGGATAGCAGTACATTACTGTATAGAAACACCAAGTCACTTATTCTAAAATATTTTTAACGCATAAACTATTGAATATTAGTAAGTAGTTTAATGTAAAACACAAAAGGAGCAAACAATGAAGAAATTAAATTGGAGGCCGAAACTGACAATAACAGTCTTCATCTTATGTATAGGCGTAACTTCAGTTATTTCGAAGACTGATAAAAAACTATGTCCTGAAATTTCGAGCAAATTCCATAAATAGATTCATGATCAGTACCTAAATCAGTAGGATGATTAAATTCAATTAAATGTTCAGGCATAGTCAATTCCTTTCTCCTAAATCACAAGAATGTAACTTAGCTACCAAGTACAGAGTCACATATTCAGCTTGAAAGGGAGTATCACTAATTTCCTATTATACAAATCAAAGAATATAAGGTGGTTGTTTTTTTAAATACAAAGTCACTAATCCATATATGGAATCTTACTATAACCTACCATTGTATATGTACTGAGAGCAAGCCTCATTGCTTTAACGTCTTAAAAGCACTATTACTAAGAAGCTTTTTGATTGACTTCAGATTTATAACTTTGACAGTCACTAGGATAAACACTTTCACATCAGGCTTGTAACATGATCACTCTTAAAAAACAGATTGAAGTAGATGAATTGAATGCTATTCAACAGCACTCAACTTGTCCAAGAACCTCCAAAAAATACAGATGTTTATCATTGGAATTAATGATTACTGTCTGGCATTGCAAGCTGTCTCCTTTGAAAACCAACAAGTTCATGTCACTTAATCAATAATAGCTTCAAAAGCTCTGAAATATGGTTAAGGGCAAGTATAAGTTGCTAGAGTTTAATTCTAGGTCTCTTTAGAGAACTGATTCCACATACCGGGAACACTTTAGTGGGCGCTACCGAATCTAGAACTCTGGTTTAAAGACAAATACTTAACCACCAGGACCACTGGGTAGATGTCTGGTGGTACAATTCCAACTTCGATCAATTTTCCATATGGTGCGACAATCAACCGATTCACTTGCGACGACTGTTTCTGAACTCCACTAGTCACGAATTTTTACTTGGACTTCAGGAACATCTTGATACGAATCATACTGACGAATCGCACACAATTTCGAAATAGCTATCTAATGCTCCCTATTTTTAGTAGTACCCCAACGGAGATCAATTTATAATGAATAAAACGTTTATTATCTATGTTCGATTTTCGCTATTACCAGAAATAGCTAACTATTCATTCGATTGATGAAATAGAAACGAATAAAACCTATTTTCTCTTTACTTTATTATCAATCTACTTAATTTACTTTTTGCCTTCACAGACAGAAACTCTACCGGATTCCACTGAAAAATCACCAACTATTGGACATACACATGAAGTTGGATTGATTAGTTCGGAAGATATGGGTGATTTTTTATCACATGTTGCTAATGAAGAGGAAGCGGTTGATCCAGACTTAGATCTAGATTTTGACTCAATTCCTCACGAGTCATCATCATTATCATCATCTGGTATACGATCATATGTTGAATCCCCTGTAGAACAAGCGGATACATCGTTAAATTTAAATGACGACATTGAATTGATCAGTCGAAATTTACGATCATCATCTGGTATGAATACCGTTATTGACGATAATGACGATGATGATGATGATGCATCTTTATCACCTCCATTGAATTCATTGACTACCGATAATACAATTAGTAATAATAATAATAACAATAATAATATTCAGTTATCATATCCAAGTCCTATACTTGAGGAAAAGGAAGAAGAGGAAGCGGAAGTAGAAGAAGTATATACCGACAATAATGTTGTTGATGATAACCATCATTATGAAGTCGAGGTACCAAGAATGACAAAATCTCTCTAACTTAGTATAAGTACACAGACTAACTTACAGGATTTGTCTTTTCAATTATGTTGTTTTCTTTTTGAAAAGAAAAGTTTGTCAAATTTACATACTTTCTCTTAACATTAGTCAAATATGTATATAAAATAACACTAAAATTTAATAGACATTCACTCAATTAGTGATAAAAATATGAATTGATCTTTTAATATCAAATAGATATTCATTCTGTCTATTTCTCCGAGTTAAATATTTATGTGCGCATGTATTATACAACATTGTCTTACACAATTACTTCTCACTCACGTTATACATGGCAATACCGACGTTAGTAGCGGTACTATGGTCCTTATTTTATCCAGTATAAAAATAAAAGATATTTATGCGTTGAGATTTCCCTTTATTACTAGTTCTGTTTAATTTTTTGTACAGTACAATTTACAATGAAAAAAACAAACAGATAAACAAATGTTTAATAAATGTAAAGTAAAAACAATATGATTGTTCAAATATGATCTTAATCATTTATGCCTTTTCTTTTGAAATTTTCTGTGATCTACAGTTAGTGTAAATGCATATTTCTATATATTTTATTCTTTTCCTCTCTTGTTAACTTTTTATAGGTTTGTGTGTGACTATACTGCACACAGACACAATCACACATACTTCCTCCTTCACTTCCATTTTAATCCATGTATCACAACAAAGATATTCATTCATTATGATTGATAGTATTCCCATTTTTTAATATCTAAAATATGTCTATTATTTATTGTAAAACTTCTCAAATTTTCTTTTGTTAGATATGATTATTAATGTTCTAGATGAATTTTCTCCAAAAATATATGTATATGTAGAGTGACTACTGATTTGTTTACAAGTAGCTGCGTTCTTTTACAAAATTAAATGCACAGATTACATCACAGAATGATCTTTGACAAATATTTACGTCAGTTTCGTCTTAGTATAACTCCTCAGAAGTTGGTATCTATGACCTCATCAGAGAAGATTAAACAAGGACTTCAGTCTTATGACGAGCGTTCATCCTTTAGACCATTGAGCCTGAATCCAATTGTTCATACGTCCAACTTCAGTCGATTCGTGATATTGTACGACCATCTTACGTTCCCTGTAGTGAATAACTTTTTTGCAGCCAACCTGACTGAACTCCACTGGTGACAGATTCTCACAAAAGCTCCTGAAACCGCACCTTAAAGTTAGTCATTGGTGAACAGATACTTATAATCAGCATGGGAGTTTCGTGGAGATTGTAGAATTTTTATGATTTTCAGTGGTGGTATTGCTAAGACTGCTACTTTAGATACTTAAATAGTGAACCAAGCTGAAAAGGATTTTGACAAAAAACATTAACGAAGCCCTACGGGACTTAATAACCGGTGACAATTTTTTTGTCACAAAACCAGGGTAGTCCACATTGGACAGAAATGACTATCTAAACAGGATGAAGATCCTTTTAAATTGTAAGAGTAAATTCGGAAACCCGGTACTGAAGAATAATATGACCGAAAAGGTTGGGAAACAACTAATAGACTCACTGAAACATTAAATAAGGTTTAACGTCAAGAAATATGCTTGAAATATTTAGACCTACGGGAACAATAACTCCAAGTCTATATGGTCTGCCAAAATGCACAGACGTGGCTTACCCCTTTGACTCGGTATTGATATGAACAATTCAGCCTACAGCAAGATGGCTAATGTAAATTCTCAAATGGTTACACAAATAAATAGTTGTGTAAAGCGCTAAGGACTCCTTCGAACTTGTTGGTAATAAAAGAAATCTACTGATCAAAAATAAATTTATAATATCATGAGACGTATCATCTTTATTTACCAACATTCTCCTACTGGAAATTGTGAATTTTATTTGCATTGAACAAATATGGAGCTTTGTGTAAACCTTGATTCTTGTATCTGCAATAGAAGAGTTAATTCTCAGATACACAATGAATGTGTACTTCCGACTCAAAAACCAATACTATAGATAACTAGATGATGAAGCCATGGGATCACTATTCTGTCCTGTACAGCAGACTTTTCTAGCGAAACCGAAAAAAAAGACCACTTAAAGACACACTTGGTCACCTAAAATCTTACTATTGCTATATAGATGATACTTTCATAGTATTAGAAAAAGAACATGAGAAGGATAATTTACTCAGTATATGTAATAACATTCATCTGCGATAACTTCTACACATGGCAAAAAACAAACCAATAGCGTATCGTTTCCAGATGTCCAACTAAGAAGAAGGGTTAATGGGACATTGAAAAGGAGGATACATAGAAAATCTGCAGTCGAACAATATACCTATTTCAATAGTTCTCTACCAATCATCTTTTAAAAAAACAGAAATCTCAATTCATCGTGCCAGAATGATTTGCTCCGACGAAACCGTTGAAGATTAATTGAGTAATATTAATAATCTGCTAAGAAGGAACGGATATCCAAATAAATTCATCAACCAATACATGAATGAAATAGGAATAAGACCGAAGGTAACAATTGTTCCGAAAAAGTCACTGTTCTTGAAATTACTGTTTCTAAGTGACGCTACCGAGGAAAATAAAACGTGAAGGTTAAGAAAAGGGGTGCGAGAAACACTTACTGCAGACAAATTGAATGAGGTTTTCCATAATTGTCCGATAATGATAACCATCAATAAATAAAAACAGTCTGAATTCGCATCATCTATCCGTATTTATCACCTCAGTCGCTCCAGCAAAGCCAGTTATGTAGGATGTACAGTTCAGTAAGTCAGCCATCGCATAGCAGAACACCGTCCGTCTTGGCTAAGCAAATGTCCGGCGAAGAAAGTGAACAACTCGTTAGTGGCCTAATTAGTGCAAGCTGGTCATAGTGCCAGTATAAACCAATCCTTTTCAATTATTTATCGAGTCAGTAATTTTTGCTAAAGCTTGTCAGACTTAAAGTCCTTTAAACGGCTGAAGCAATAGGCATCCGGATGAAGAAACTGGAGCTATGCGCACAGAAGAAATATCTTCAACCACACCTCCTCCTCTAGCCAACCTCAAGGCCAACTAATCAATAATAATCTTAGCTGTTCAATGACCTAATCTGACTATTGTACTTACAACCTTTCGCAGTCAATTGCAATTGTCTCTGTTATCTTTATTCACAAATCTTGGTATTATTATTATTATTACTATTGGTTAAACATCATTATTATTCTCATCAATATATAATTCCGTTACTTCGCCTTCATCCCACCTTATTACGTCGTACTAATAATTTTCTACACAATATAATCTCGATAATGCAATGAGAAGACGATGTTTATCAGAATTATGTGATATATTTGCGCAATACATTTCGAACATTCTGACCACACACGATATACTTGCTAAGACATATTTATATGAAAATCAAAAGGTCAACTAGATAGGTTAAAGGTAAGCCGTAACAACAAAATAATAATATTAAAGTACACAAAAACAATGTGATCACCACTCGGGATAATAAATCGTTATCACCAGGGTAGGTTAAGTGTAAGGACGAATTGTTTTTGAACGCGTAAGAGGGGGTTTCGATTTCCGTAGAGCCAAGGCTTCAATAAATCTTAGTATACGTCCCTGAAGGCCTTTGTATAACACTATAAATGATGACTTGTTGTCAACATTATGACCAGTCTCAATCAAATGTTTCGCAATGGAAGATGATGTCGGTCTATCTTGTGATCTTATTCGACCATTGGAATCCATTTGTTTCTGCAGCCATTTTGGTATGTGTTCATCCAACCTTAATTGCAAATCACAATTGCTCCTCTTATGTACGTGTTTCCGCACATACATACAAATTGATAGACACAATCGCTTAGGTGCTGTTTGGGCTATTGGTGAAATATAGACCTTGTCTTTTCGATAATGACAAGTTGGGCTGCATAAAATGTCCGGCTGATAGCTAATTTAAGTCTCCGTTTCAACATGAGACTATTTGTGTCGCCTCTAAATGGTAACATAATGTAAACTCGCTTTTTGGGTGCCAAAAGCGTCATAGGTCTAGCCGTATTGCAACCATTACACGATATAGTCTTCCATTAAACTGTTGATCGAATTGTAATTGCATTGTTATTTCTCTCACCCTATCTGATCCATATTTATTCAGATCATGGATCACTTAACATATAAGCTGATTTAAATTAACATTCCATATGAGTCATATCAACATTAACAATTTTATTGTATTTTGTTTGACAATCCTAAATTCACATGCTTTAAACGATGTTCTTTGCCCTTAACCTGGCCACTTTTCGGATTATTAATTTGTATATATGAATTGTAGAACCTGAAGAGAATTTATCGAAAAGAATATTCTTCATTCAAATATTAGTCTTTTAATATGATGGGAATCTTTAAACAATCTTCTGATTTCTTTCACTTTTATATTTTCACATCTCGATATTCATTTCTTGATTCAAAATATTTAGTTTGTGCCCTTTTAAAATATTATGTAATCTAATAACTGTCTAAACATACCAGAATTGATGCAGGTAAATTCAGCTGACAAGTCCCAAATAAGACGAAACGCGCGTCCTGGATTCCACTGCTAGCCGCTATCCATCTTTGCTTAAAATGCTTGTGACGTAAGGCCATATTGAGGCAATCCGCATAGGATGCACATATGCCAAAATGAGACTGATCAATTGCAGTCCTAAATAACAATAGGAAGATACAAGTAAAACAACACCAAGTGAATTTAATAACTATTTAGTTGAATTTTCTAATTTTTATAGATGATCACTTTAATTATTATAATCCTTTTTCTTTTATTTATTCAATAAATCATTCGATAATATTTTATAATCATTGTGATATATGATTATATTACATATGGTGGAGATTTGTAGCTCAGGTAGATGATTTGGATGAAGTTTTGTTCTCTGTGCTAGATGGTTTGGTCGTGGAGCTTTCATCGTTCTTCTGAACGACATCATGAACACAAACTTCAGATAGAAGTGAAGCGTTAGAATTTCTCCAAATATGGTTCACAGTTTGTCCTGTAGATCTCGATGTTGATTGGTTCTTGTTGATCTTAAACCTATCATTGTTTACTTACCACATGTAGAGAAA